CTTTGTTACAGCCTCGGGTCTGTTCTCATATGTAACGGCTAAACTTATCTAACAAGGGTTGTTCGCACCAAATAGATTGTATTCTGAAAGTAGACTACTATCTGTTCACCGATAGTGTATAACGTGTCTGTCGCCTGACGTTAATGAGTATGAACTTTCATCTACAGTGCCACCTAAAGCTTTTCTTTTTGTTAACGATTGCCTAATCACTCAGACGGGATTCTTGGGAAAAGGTCTGAGCCGACTATGGTGCGCCGAAGATCGTGTTGTAGACAAGCCAACATCTATAAAGAATCTTTCTCGACATTACAAAATACCTAAAAACAGAAACATTATCGGTGACGGCACTTTATTTGTCCTGAAAAGTCTAAACATGGCGGATGTCGTAATCGTTCTAAGTGGAGTACAACGAGTGGCCGACCGTCATAGCGAAGCTCCAGAAGCGGACACAATGAAGCATGCCAAGCCTGAGGGTCGACTACGAAGCAAAAGCTTAATAGAATTACAACAGTACCTGAAACATCATTGGGTAGTATACAGTGTCGCAGTCATTTTCTACATGAAAGCTGGACCAGCGTCAAACCGTCTAGGTATCAACATGCACTTCTGTGATAAATATTTCGTATTACACAATCGATGAACTCTATCAACAGCGAAAGACATCTCTGTCCGCTAGCCAAGCGAGGAATTTAGGGGTTCACGCACACTTTAAAAGGACGAAAGAGTAACCAAATGAACGCTGATGGCACAGTCGCACGCGACCGGAGGCAGGAATAAGATAGGATGTATAAAAATGTGTGCTGTCTCCTTTAGAAATCTGTAAATAAATTAAAAAAAAAAGCAAGGTCGAAAGGTCACGGATGCTTGAATTTAATTAAACCTATGCTATCATTTTGGTTAAGACGTGTTCAAATATCGGCTCGTCACTGGAACTCGCTAAACGCAATCATGAAGCGCTGTCTGTACCAAAGGCATCATATCGGTTAGGTGAAACAAATGGTAAAATAACAAAGTTTAATATTCAGCAAACGTAGCACCTTTTGTTTGGACCATTATATAATAGTATGTATGGCCATCTCCTTGGGCTATATCACATGCATACGGAAAACCCAGTTCGAGTTGGCAGCGGTTTCTGTTTACACCCAATTCGACGTAATTAAATTGTTCCAACGTGATTCTGCTACGGAGATAGATCGAAGCTAGTTCTCCATTGCGTCGCATACTTTCTCTCCATATCGAGCCGCCTCTGTATCAGCGATGAACATGAGACGCTGTAATAGAAGGTTAAAATGGGGCCACGCTATTTAGAATTAACGCAACAAGCTCCATCCTGATGATTCAGCGCAGCCCAACTCCGATACCGTTAAAGAATCCGATCAACCGCAACACTGTTCTGAGTAAAAGTACATACTATCAGCGGCACATACCGTTCAATGATAAAAAATAACAATCATCTATTATAATCGGTAAAGGGATAAAGTAAGAATATTTACTTCTCGATAAATTCACCTATTATATATACATATATATACAATCTGGCAATAATAATCTAATAAAATTTCGTCAGCTGTTTTGCCCTAGGCAGTAGGTGTTTTTGAAGCACGATAAGCCTACAAGCGACGGCAAAACAAGATTAAGTCTCGATAATCTGCTGTTCAATTAGTGTGAAATGCCCTTAATTCACACCCCAACAAACAGGCAGTCACCGGCAGACTCTGTAAAACGAGGGCACCGAAAGGACCAATGACATAAGCATTCAACAGATGTTAGTACGAGAAGTCACTGTAAAGGACCAAATCGCTGTTTGGTGACCTTGAAAGAAAAATATTCTTGACAAGGAAGGCAAGAAAGCGCCTTATTTTGTTTTTAGTTCGGCCGTATTTTAACCCGGCCACCGAATATCCTTGCACGCTGCCCTTTAGCTGACATTCGGAATTACGAAGGCTGCGTGCATTGCGGAAACATTTCAGAAAATAGGTTGATAGAGTTATAGCAAATTAATGTTAGATAAGCTAAAAATGTGTGCCAAATGATGCAAATCTTTCTATAGGCAAAGAACCCATCGGTTTCGTTGGCTGCCAGTGTTTCGTAGTCAACATCGCAGGCAACAGCGCTGCTAACGAACTAAAGAAAAGAGCGGTACAATACGCGCCAGATATTGTTAATAGCGTCTAATTAATGTGTTTTCAGTGCATAGTTATATATCTGTTACTCTTAATTAGGCCTATTTCCGATTAAGGTCAAGCTAAAAAAAACAAAATAATGCATGCACCGCTTGTTTCTTCATATTGTGTGTTGGCAATCAAGTAAAGTTACTCGATCCCAGAACATATATGCGACGACAGTCAGCATCTCAAGGGGCCAACAGCGTGCTGTTTAGGGCAACAACACCAGGAAAACGTTTAGGAACGATGGAATATACCGTAAAGTATGCGTATTTTTCACCGCCCGTACCTTAAATTGCAAGTGCCGTAGATCTAATAACTTTTAATGTTCACCAAGCTGAGTCGCGCTATGAGCCTTAGCCTATAGCATAGTGTCCGTACGGCAGAAGGCCAACGATCTGAAATGCCTGTTTGTGGCGAGGTAGCCGTTTGAGGAGACGGTTATTGAAGATTTGTGCCGTAGACGCCAGCGATTACATCGTACGTACGACGTCTACTAACGCTTTCACGTTCCAGTATTTGATTCATTATAGAAGGTATTTTTTCATTCTAAATGAGCACAGTTGGTTGTGACACTTGTCTCGATAACAGAATGATCTATGCCAATAGACAGGCTCCTATAGATAAGGTCTTCGAATATACACAGTAGAAGTATTAGCTATTAAAGTATTGAACCCTTTTTCGTTTAAAATACACACAAATTCATTTAGGTTTGCCTTTCTGTGTTAACTGTTATTCTCAAGCAGCCATGGACACTACGAGTCGGCTAATGCTAAACAGTTTGGTCTTGAGGCATATTAACGTATCTGGTTCGTTCTAGAAATTACATTTTGCATTATGTAGTGGCTAGAGAACCATAAATGATCGAACCCAATGCACTCCGCTTGAAGCGACTGGAATAACATCATGGCTTAAAGAACGTACTTATCGTTTCCTATAGAAGCGAGGTTTATTCTACGAGCAGAAGCCGGAATCGATTCACAGATTTTGAAAAATTATATCAACGCGCTAATCCCCACATCAGAAATACTGCTCAGTCAAGTACCTCTTAGGAGTAATAAGCATTTCAAGTTTTTTGATCACGGATAAAGATTGCGATATTTATTTATTTATTACATCTTTTTATTTTTTGGCTTCGCTGCTAATGCCGGCCTCGTTAGACTGACTCAGATAGGCCTTGGCAGACCTCTGGTAGATATGAGGCCTACCACTATGGTACTACCGCCATGATGTCATTCTAAGCGCTGTAGGTACAAGTAAACATCACAACTGAAATTCTTATTTTAAACTGAAGACAAATACTGATAGGAGAGGTTGTGTTATTACATCAATCAACGCTGAAAATAATACAGGCAAGAAGATGTCGAGGCCGCTTTACTTTTGTCTTATACGTTTTCGTTAGATATGTCATAACTTTTATTGCTGCGGTGTACTTCATGAGGATATACGAAGTGCTCCTGCATTTGAAATCTAATCCACCGTAATATTCAGACATGATCCACAGCAGAAATCCTATGAATCTAGGTCGTTCCTTTACAGAGAACGTTCAGCGTATCCTAATGTCTTCAATAGAAGATGGCCACACACACAATTTTGTTTTTTCTTGGCTATTAGGTGAAGAAATCGTTTTGTTCGAAAGTTCAGTTTGCGCCATTTCTACAGCGACCTTTTTCTCTACGAGAAAAGCCTTTCTTGCCTTGCTGTGCCTCTATGTTTCGAGTTTTACGCCCGATATCGCCGTTTGGCATTCCGTGAGACGGCTGGCTGGCTGGCTCACAGCATGATACGATGTCTGTCTATCTATGCCTGGGTTCGAACCTACATCACAACTTATCCCTAAGATTAGCGCACGAATACGTTATTCACTAAGCTATCCCGAAGACAGTACTTAATCGTAGCCAACTCTACCAGCCGAGATACCCGGCAAATGGGCAGATTTACTGCTTTGCAAAGTCTGCATCTGTCTAGCGTGCGAAGAGGGCAGCACCGAACGTGCGCCAGTCAGCTTAGCTCTACGGAACCGAAATTCAAGATAGATATAGACTCTATACGTCATCGCAGTTATGCTCTCAATATTCCAGTTGGTCGACAACTAACCCTACTTTTTGCCAGTGTTTACGTTATTGTACCAAAGCGGTAAACCCTTAAAAAAAATATGCGCTGACCAACCTTTGGTCGCTGATAAAACGAAGGGAGTACATCGATTACCTGTTTATCAGAAAAACCGTAATCTATTCCTACCTCTCACGATCTGTGTACTTCATTTTCCGGTTTTGAGAAAATGCCATGTTCCCAAAGTCTCGATCTTCCTTTCACCTTCAGACTTCACGGGTATAGTGAACAATAATTATGGTGTTAAATGTGTTGTAAGATGCGACACATCATTTAGCATTATTTATTTACAAGAACTTTAACAATGCTAAACTACAGCAAATGAAATCAAGATGTATATTCTACTACATTGGCCCAGCTTAAATCTATACAAACAACTGACTCGGTCTTTAATCTAGATTAATTGTATCAGTCATGCGTAAAAATCGACTACGCCTTTCAATGTCCCTATTTCACCTATTTCGCTAGGGAACCCAGTACCTTAACTAACCCCCAAAGTGTATGATTTCTAATCATTCCAGAATTATTTACGCAGATATATTGATACTGTACGTTAGCCTCTGTAGTCCACCCTAAAAGATGCTTCGAGTTTTATGCTCGGAGCGGCCGTTGAGCCATTGCTTCAGACTTAGTGATGCACCTAACAAAGTTGAATACATTCTACTGAAAGTGCACTCGCTTAATTTTTAATTTACGGAGGATCTCGGCGTTCGTTCCTTTCAGGCGGCGTCACTGGTGGAAGCGATGAATTCCCTGTTGGAACCATCGCAGGAGTTGGTGAGAGCAGTCCAGTGGCCACGAGGCGTCAACCTCGAAGTCCTCTATGCTACTCTATACCATCGACCAGCGGGTCGGGCAGCTTTGGACCTGGAAGTGAATCGCCTCCATCAGTTCTATCGACGCCGACCCACGGTGCAGTTCCAGCCACACAGGGCAGCGGAAGCTGTGCTACGGGTTCTGGAGGCCACTGGCAGAAGTTTAACTTCAAATCTAAGAAGATCGCCTCGATGTTATCGACTCTGAAGAGGTTCGCTACCTCGCCAAAGAGGAGACTCAGCGATCGATCATCATTGCAGTGTTCGGGTATGAATTTTTATTATTACTACATTAATAAACTTCTAATAGGAGCACTAGTTGCCAGAATATTGATTATAATTTTGCTCAACATTTAACTAGGTGCGCCGACTGAAAACAATTCTATTTGATTGAGCCTGCGCAAGGCTTTAAGGTCAAACCGTTTCAAGCGAACTGTACCCACTCAAGGTACACACGATTTGATGCAGCTACGATGGAACAGCACGAGACGATTTTTGCCTAACCTTCAGACATGAAGTTCTGGAGAAAAGTGTTATAATATACTATTCTGTATTGCCCTAATAATGTCCATTTACGAAGCGGTGAAGTTTCTTGGATTCCTGGATTGTTAGATGTTCCAAATATCTATTAACGCAGTTTTTGCGCCCGTCACAATATTTCTGCCTTTTCTAGCTGCTAATGGGAAGGTGCAGCCACAGGCTCTCATGTTCTCAGATATTTCCCGGTATGTGGACGCACATAATATGGTTAAAGCTTTATTAACATATGAAGTTAAATAAAACTAATTATCGCACTTTTTTCCCTTTATTAAATCGTGACTTCCGTTCAAGTTTTGATGATTGCGGGTAAGGCGAATGAATATTGATTGGAACTAGCTAACTTCAATAGTAGATTCTGTCAAATAGACAATAACTAAAGCAGAGCAATATCGTCTTTATAATTTTAATTAAATTAAGATCATGGCCACGAAGATCCAAATAACACGGGTTGTGTGACCAATTGAGCTCAGTAATATTTATTACAGCAGGCATAACAGCAAATTATGTTGAATTTTATTAACGCGATTTAAAACCTAAGCAAAGTCCTCCATTGGGTAGGCAGGAACTACAGCCTCGTAAGAGCTTTACGCTGCAAGTGTCAAACGGTCTATACTATCTACTGATTGTAACGACTCGACGCCTAAAATAAGCTGTAACCATCATTGGCTATAGTAATGTAATGGTAATGGAGCTCGTCCCAGAACAGAACCTACAAAGGGTTAACACTACGGTCAAGCTCCTTTTGTGATACTGCTAATTTATGGTGAAGTCAATTACTCGTGAAGGACATACGTAAAAAGTACGCATCGGGTTATCGAACAGTGATAGTCTCGTCTGAGTCGGAAGAAACCTTGAGTAAATTAATGTTCGGGGCGTATCTGGGAATTTTTACATGAGAAGCAAATTCTTCGAGTTTCGATAGGAAAAACCTTTGGAGCATATGTAACTTTATAATTAGCGGGGCATTATAGTAATGGACCTCTCTCAAAAACATTGAATAATTAGAATTTGGAACAAGAAGCTGGAAGAATCATAAGTGAATCAATTCAAAAAATGTTAGATAGCTCCCTCAATCATGTGATAAAGTAAATAACCCAAACTTTTGTACTCGCTGTGTCTCCGAAGCCTAAGTCAGGCGAGCATATCGTGGTTGTACTGAAAAGCGTACACCGCCGCAACGCTGAAGCTGTGGATCCGTAATTTCTCAGTTTATTCCTCGTTCTCATTTCGTACCAGCGGTCTGTGCTCTCGTAAAGATCGACAGCTTTTGGAAGTTGTTGAAACAAGATGAATAGGATATAGCCTCATCTGCATCAAAATCAAACAAATCCTATCTACGATATCAAATCTAGCACACCACTCAAAAGGCTTAAAAGATAATAATTGCGCCATATTGTCTAACCAAAAGCATAAACACTATTGTTTAATACGAAATATTTTTTTGCAAACCTTTACATTTTAAGCTTGCCTACTAACCGTTTTCTTTATCCGGCTAATTTTTTTCTGAAGATAGTTCTTAGTAGCCATGACACCCCAACTATTCGACCCAACTATTCGATCTATCAAATGAAAATCGCACTTGCTTGGTAGAGAAAAGTATGGCCAATGTCATCTGGGCTATTTGAATTGTAACTAATTATCTTGGCACAATTGATTTTGTGCTTTTAACCCATTCTAGAGACCAACGAGTTCTGTCTGATCTTTTGCCGAAACCAGTGATCACGTCAGAAGCACATTATTGCGCGGCATTTAAGTTCCTTTTTCATTTTCAGAAAAAGATTCTGACAAGCAAGAACCAAATTTTGCCTTTCATTTATGCTGTACTTCGCAAACGTGTACATTACGCAGGATATTAACATATAATAGCTTGTAGTACTAGCCTGCTATATTTGTCGGGTGCCGTTACGTAGTGATATGGGTAAATATCTGCATATAAGTTACTCAAATTTAGTGTTGATTAGCTCAACGAAGAACAAAGTGTCAGTAATTGTCGACGATGAGGGGCAGGCAGCTTCTTAAAATAAATGAATCTATGTCTCAACAGATGAGATAGTTTATTTATCTTAGGGCTTATGTATATGTATATATTTATGCCAATCGTCTAGGCGAATACGATGACTGCAGGAAAGGAGATTGATTTGTAGGCTTTTCGACAAGCTGCGCGGCCGGTAACCTTCCTTTCTGGGAGCCATTTCGGCGGCGCTTGGACCTGCTCGATCGTGGCGAGTTCCGCGCTGCGCTCAGTCAGTACGTCGGTTGGTTCGAAAATCAGTCTTTCTGTCTGTGTCTGGTCAGATAGTCGATAACTGCTGACCTGGCAGAGCCTTTGTTCAGCTCAAGCTAATAGTCCCACCGTCTGGTGTTAACGTTCTTGTATCTTACATATCTGTCAATAGCTATGGCCTGATGACTCGGAAGAAACAAGGGTTTAGGCTGCGCATTTGCGTATTGTGATCATCTTTCGACCAAGACTGCGATCACTCGTTACCCAACCCGTGCTAATGATAATACTTAGATGGGACCTGTGTTTAAGCTGCTAACAGTGATGGCGGTAGAACAGGCGGTTACGTCCCAGTCACAAAATAGTTTTATGCATTGATGATAATAGTTGTTGTGATGAAGATTTCTAAGCCTAATTTGCACGGCGGTGCTATGGGGATCGTTACCTGCTGACGATCTTATGCACGGTATCCTGCTGACAGTGATTTTAGCTATGTGATAGTGATTTCCTCACGCGTCGTAATGTAGTTGTTGCTGAAGTTCGTTAGCATTTTTGTTCGTACTTACCTCTTGGTGATAACGGATCAGCCTTATATCCACTTGCGGTTCATAGTGTGGTTGATTAATTCTACCGGTGTATTAGATGTGCTTGTAGCTATGAAATAGTAATGAAGCTGAGCGGTAGAAGTCTTTGCCCAGTATCATTGTTGTATTTTGAAAAAAAAATAGGAAATGGGTCAAGTTCGGTTTCCACTCGGGCGCTATCGGCGTCGCCAAAAAAAATCACAAGATTACAACTACTTTACCTTCTTATGTTATTGTAATTTCGTCATGTTCTTCTCTATCTGCATTTTCGGTGTCGTCTGTTACTGCCTTTTCTTTGGTGTCCTGCGCCTTAACGGCACCTTCAGGTCGACTATGCCAAAGCCACCCCAATGTGTCCCGGAGCAACCTGGCAGCGCTGGCCGCTGGCGCTTATGACGACGAACACCTCGACGGCGCCCAGATGTATGACAATCTGACGACGACCAACTCACAGTCCGATACGACAATTCACCACTGGCGGTGGAGACGCGACAAAAGCGATCGGAGTGAAAAAGATCGGGGATTAAGCGGCGCTCGGGATGTACCGATTAAAACGGAACAGCTTCTCGCCATCGATAAAAAACTTCCTCAGCTTCGCTTGCATCATCGCTTATCTGTCGAAAGCTCGGGTTCGACGCTAGCGACTCTTGCTTATGTTGAAGAGGTAAGCATTTCGTCAGTTATTTATGTATTAGTTGAACGAAGGCCTTTGAAAGGTTTGCTTATAACTCAGTCTGCTTTAAATATGCCGGATGGTTCCATCGTCTATGTTCCGAAACTACTATACGCGCCATTTGTACTGGAACAAATACCGTTAGACTGTCGATGTTGTAGTTATATTAATATCTCGTATGTTATGTAATTTATATGTCAGAATTTACGTAATAATTTAATCCACATCGTTTCATAAAATAGCATGTTTTTAAACAACAAAGTAACGATCTCTGTCTCGGTTCAGATTCAGCAGATCATAATATCGAAAATGTTATAAGACGTCAAAAGCGTTATAAGATAATGTTAGTGCACTCCAATCTTTCACTATTACGGTTTTTTTTTTGTACATCGATCACTTCGAATTAAAACCTAGACGGAAAATCGAAAAGACCTCTCCGGGAGACAAGAGCCGCACAGTATCTAACCGTAACGCCCCGACTGTTCATTGTCAACCGTAGTAACAGCTAATCGACGCCACAAGGAACGCAACACAGGAAACAGTAGGAGTGATAAAGAATAGGACCGATATTGTGCTCCCAGCGGGTTTCAAGGTCTATCTATTTTGTAACCACCCACACCTGACCTGCCGCAAGGCGATTCGAATTTTTATGGTTCCAAGGATAACCTTGAAATCATTTTTTTGAACAATGGCGTACCTGAATGGGGTGATCGTCTCCATATGTCTATGTTCCATTATGTTGACAAGCGTTGGAAATCATTTGCTTATCAGTTTTTTATGATAACATACGACGTGTGCAAGAGAGCTATTAAACCACGTTACAGCCATTTGTAGGCTAAATGATACCAGTTGTCCATTCTAGGGCAGGTCTTAGTGTCACTATTAAGCATCGCATTGAGAAATAACGCCTATCTTCTTAGCTCACTTCATCTATTCGATGCCCCTTTTATAGAGCAATCGGTAGTCGGAAACGTTATCGCTGTTATCCTGACAGTATCTTTCGACTTGGCTACGTGATGTTTATACCATGCACATTATAGATATATATGAGAGCATCAGCCAGCTGCTCCGTTGTTTTACTTCGAAACAGAATTAACACTGTGTTGACAATCTGCTTCGTTGTACGCCGTTCTGTGTTCCTGAAAGCCTTTCTTCCTCAGAGCGGAACTCACGATTGATTCCTCCAGTTGTTGTTGCAGGTTTTCGTGGCTTTCGAGTTCGTGGCGTTCTCCACTTGGCCTGATATGTGCGTTTTAACGATTCCGCATCCGTATCTTGCTTGTTTTCATGTACGTATGCGCCCGGCATACATATAGGCAACGTTTGATAAAGAAGGAAGTGAGCCGAACCTGAAAATTGCTGAACGTCAAGCAGACTGTGAGGTACGATTGATGTAGGGAATACAAATGAGAAAGCAGCGAAATCAAGGATGCTTCAAAACTAATTCTGAATTGGGTCTGCACCTTCGCCGCAATAGTTATCGCCTGCAGTGGGGAAAGTGACAATGATGTTGTCTTCAGCGGAATTCTCTTCGTTCTAGGAGTCGAGGGTTTGGCCCGCCAGTGGCGTGGGAAATATAAATTAAGACTGAGTCTGATCTATCGACGTAGCAGATATATAACAGTCTTTCGAAGTATTCCGTGTCCAATCGTGCGCAAATTAATAGATATCAGTATATACCTCGTGTCTTATACGTATGTTTCGTGCCTAAAGCTGTCTGTCATCTATTTGCTTCGCATTGTTGTACCCTTACTTGGATGAGCCGTCCAGGATTAGTGCTGAAATCTAATGTCATCTATAACCGTCGCTCGCTCAAAAGCAAAAGTGAAGACCTCTATCGAAAGAAGCGAGCCTATGAAGTCATAGGTGCTCATCATAAATGTAGCGAATTTCCTGCGCTTTTTAGGGTTTTATTCTTTTTTTTTTTAACTAGTACAATCGGTGTATCTTTAATAATAATAATAATAATGATTATCATAATCATACGTGGGTATACCGGCATTTCTTTCAACAGCACATTGATTAGCCGCAGGCTCCACTTGCTATTCTAGAGTTATTTCCTCTATATAGGACGTCTTCCAGCTTTTGTCGTCCGATCACTATTTCCGATTCTAGTCCAGCTACTGTACCTTTGCGTTGGCTATTCTAGTGAACGTGGCCTGTGAGATGTGAAATATTTCTGAATAGCTCTAGAAAAGCAGGACAAAATCACGATACTGACAGCACTCGAGTCGCAGTTGAAGCACTTCAGGGAAGAATCTACCTTTATTCTTCCATGTCCAGTACAAGCAACTGAGTTGAGAAAGATCAGTTCTTCAGCACTTCAAGTATAAGCTTGTATACCTTTCTAAAATGTGACCCTATGTGCTAGAACAGTTTTGTTTGTCGAGTGTATCACAAAATACATAAGTTAATTTTATAAAACCTGCTGTAAGACGCAACTGATATAATAAGTTTTCATCAGCTGACCAGAAACAGTGCATGTGAATGCATATATCATAAGAGGAAATAAATTTCCTTTTCACGCTGTCAGGCCATGCGAGACATATCTGTGCTATTATCAAGAGGCGGTCTTAAAATTAATAAAAAATATGTAAAAAACGAGTAGACCTAAACGTATCGTTAGGGTATGTAAAAGGCCGGATAAATAATTTATGATAATAGCATCTTGCGTCGAAGAGAATGTTGCTGTTCACTGCCCAGATATGACCCTCTTACGAGTATCAGGAAACACAGTTTTTCGTCTGTGTTTCCTCTAAAAAGCAATCGTTCTTTAGTTGGTTAACTTATATCCGTCGCAGCAAAACGTATCTCGAAATACAACTATCGCACTACAAAAACGTCACATCTTAAGCCAACCCTGTAAGTTAATTAGAAAGCCACGATAATTAAATGATATAGCTTGCTTTCCGCTTTAACTTACCGAAATTTATAGCAAATCAATTCCAGAGCTCTGTCCTCGATGCCTCATTTTTTGCTAACTAAAGGCACTAACCAGATTCCTTAAAATAGACGTGATCTTGGTTTTCTTTAATTAATTAACGAGAGATATTCAAACTTATCCGTAGAGCACGTGTACTTTTTCCTACCAGTATATCTTTTATATACTGAGTGCACTTTCTCTATGCAACTACACCCACGTAGAATCTAGACGAAATTTATTTTCGAGAGATACTATATGACCTGGGTGACATCAGGCTGTTGATAATATCAATATAAAGTATTTTCATTCCTTTGCTTTAGCCCATGTAAAACGTGTTTTTCCACCATGCCCAATACGCCATGCGCCCAGTTCGCTTATGGTGATATAGATGAACTAGTTGGTTGTACACTGCGACGGCAAAACTAGAAAAGTTCAACAAAGTAATTAGGCTGCTCACCTACAGTAACCTTTATGTGCCTAAGAGAAATTATGTTAATTAATTATCTTTCAGGAGCCGAGTTCCAGCCGGCAGGATCCGGGAGCGTCCGTTTCGACGTCGCCGATAAGCAAGTCGTTCTTCGTCTTGGATGTGTGCCTGCGTTGCGGAAAAAACCTTATCGCAAAGGATCCCTGTGGGACCAGTGATCCATATGTCAAGTTTCGCATTGGTAATAGGCAAATTTATCGAAGTCGAACGCTGAGCCGAACCTTGGAGCCTTTCTGGGACGAGTCCTTTAGCGTGCCTCTTGACAACATCTCGCAGGCCTTGCACGTCAAGGTTTACGACTACGACTTCGGGCTGCAAGATGACTTCATGGGCGCTGCAGAGATCGAGATAGATTCTTTAGAACTAGACAAGTAAGTGTAGCCTACAAGAGTAGCTAACACGAAAGGTTGGCAGAAAGCAGTTAGATTAGGAAATGTATTCTTCTGCCAATTGGCAGAAGAATACATTTCCATTGGTCCATACGGCAACCTATAAGGCCCAGCAAAAAGACCGATTAGTTAGTCAACTCGAATTTTCGTAGGAATCGTCGCTCCGTTTTGCCTATGGACCTCCTCTCCCATCCAAATACAAACGCGTAATATGGCGTCAAAGAGCAGAGAAGTATACACATGTTCCCGTAAACACCTACCACACAGTACCGCGATATAAAGTCCACGCACGCCCTGACGGAAATTTATAGCAGTTCAAGATATATTTCCCCGCAAGCTTATTCTAATTACTGTATGAGTAAATACTCATTTTGAGCAGGGTTACTTACATGCGATTCGTGACTTACGCTTCACACGAATTTGTATCTGTTTTCTATGCTAGTCAGCAAATCACTAGGCAACATTGCCCGGTGGTGCATCGATGCTATTAACTGGATGTTCTTCAGTATTTCTCTACGCATCGATATTAGTCGTAGAACTAAGACAACAGAACGCCGGCTCGATAGCAGGAATATGGCGACCCGCCTTTTACCATGAGCTTCCAAAGAATAAAGACGCCATAACCAAAACATGTACATTTCCATGGTGAATGCTTGTTTACACTAGTCAGTTATTAAGGCCTACTGCTCGATGATTTCCGGCGGCTAATGTGTTCAGATAATAATCAATCCTCGTCGAGCAACTTCAAGTACACAACATATTTCGGCCTGTTTCGACATTTCCGTGGTGCTAGGTGTTAGATGCGCACACAAAGCTTGGGAGCTCAACCGATTGTTGCGTTCTGATGTTCGTGCGTTAGGCTGTAATCATGGTTGATCGCCTAATTCGCAGTTAATCGTCTCTTGATCCTCGGTCTGGGGCCGATGAAAAGGCACGAATTTGAGACAGCGCCAGTCACGCACGGTACATGCAAAATGAAAGGGAGCCAACATTATTGGTCCTACGAAAGACAGTTCAGTGCTTCAGATGTTTTTTTTTTTTAACTTATTTAAGTGGAAGCTAAATAAGCAGTATCGTCTAGATCGATGTTAATATCTGTATCACAGTATTTTTTTTTTTTTTTGATATTCATGATCATGAGACGAGTGTCTTCGGTTATTCACAAACACCTATTGCGTGGCATTAGGAAGTTTTGCGTGCTTTGTATTTGTACCTAACAAAATTCTTCTTTGCCCTTCTTCACCACCCTCTAATCCCTTCTAACTGCCTTTCTTTCTGTACCTTGGTCCATAGAATATTATGATGTATGTTTTACAGTAAAGATGCAGTAAAAATTCATCGAATCGACCTTCACCAACCAAGTGCTCACGTTCTTTGTCTGAACTTGAAACTAACTTTCATTACGATACAAAATACGTAAACACCACTTGGGAACAAGACGCTGACAAATCAATAAACGGTCTAAGCGAACTCAAACAACACTCGAGCCATCGACGCTGCTCTATCTAAGCATTTTCGCATGTGCAAGCGTTAGTGAACTCGTTTCTACCGGGCAGATTAGTTTCAATAACAAACTGTTCCTCTGATTATTCAATATGTCCGTTAGCGATTGATGTTAATTCAAACGTATTGTTTATTTCAGACCAACTGATATTCTTGTAAATCTCTCAGAAACGGGTAAACAAGAGGATGCCAGCGCAGCTCAAGATCTTGGCTACCTCATGCTCAGCCTTTGCCTTACCCAGAAACCCGCCGAGGATCGGCCTCAAGTATGTCTTTCGTTTTTCTTACAAAGCGACCAACATACGCACAAGTATGACATTTCTCGTATGCTAATACGTTTTTCGACCAGCACTGTTGGCATCCGGAGGCAAAACCTACCAGATAGGTTTAAAAAATCTTCATTCAATACATCGCTAACCTAAAAAAGCATAATCGAAGCTACATATACCTCAGTTAAGCCATACTGGCTAGGCTGTAATATTAAAAGAATGATTTAGGCTAGTAGGATGAGACGGCTCTGCTAAGGAGTTCTTTTGAGTTCGAAACAGGAGTTCGATTTAGACGGACAGGTCTCTTTACCTATTGCGTGGTTGAAAAAGGAACTAGTTGTAATATGTTCCTACCACCTACTGTTGTAATATGTTACAGACCAGATGCCTAGAGTTTTTATAAAAAAAAAAAAAAAAGAAGATTTTAAAACGTTGACTTTTTCGAAATTAAATATAGCTGATATTACCGTCTATGTGCTTTAGTTGATAGCGGGCACACCTCGCCGTTGTAGCCCTTACAAACTGACTAAGAGGACAGGCTTGCTCCATGAGGGTGTACCTTTCGCAAGCGACTCGAAAGGTTGAAGTCATCTAATGCAGTCTGAAACGGTTTTCCCAAGATAAAAATCCTTTATGATTGAGATCCTTCATCCACCAATCCAGCGGCGTTTGACATATGTATATAATACATAACCTTTGTCGACATTCATGTATATACTGAGATTCACTTACACTTTCCATGATCATTTGGAGAACAGCCAATTCCATACTTGGAATCAGTACTGGGATCATCCTATTTGCTGTCGACCATTAGCTTCAAATTATAATGCAAACTTTCCCTAGTACGGCGGTCGCAGTTCGAAAAAATGACGAATAGGAAAAATCAGGCTGCCTCATAATTCAGGCCGGCAAGAGGCCTGATGTAATGCTTTAATAAAGTAGAGTGAAAGTGTGGAGAATCGATCGTTTGCAGAACTTCCCGCAAGTGCTCAGTTAGAATCTAGAACATCGTCAACATATGGTCAGAACTGTATGGCCGGACGCCAATACCGATAAAGCTAAGTAAAAAAAGGTGCTCAATTTGCTTCGTATTAGACTCTCATCTTGGAAATTTCGTACGCTATAGGCCGATTTGGAAGCTGAGCTGGCCATCTCTAACAAAATATTGAACTAAATTACTTTTCATCTGAAACGAATTGTGAGGCTCGGCAGTTGGAGCCTTTCCCGTTTATAGCCGTTTATATTGCAACTGCAGTCTTCCGAAATAACTGTCACCGTAAGTAACGACAGGTAACGGCGCCTTTAGATCTTCGTGACGTGTGTACAAAGATAGCATTTGCTTACAGAAAGGTTTCTGCTATTGACTGTCGTTAAATGCACGTTATTGTGGCAATCGCACGTACAACTATCGGTTGTTACCGTAGGCTTTCCAACATCAGAACTTGTAAAAAAATTGATTTCATAATTCGTTGTGGTTTTTTTTTTCCGTTTTCTTTAGGTGTTAGAATACTGCCGGAAATCTGGGTTTAACACATATTCATTCCATCTATTTAAGCTGCATGTGTCTGCACATAATTCTAGTGCTCTAGTTGTTTGCAAACGCTGGTGTTTGCCATCAGTGGCATCCTCAAATGTCAGCGGGATCTCTGTTCGCTCCCAGCCTGCAAACCAAGACCCAAGTAGTAGTTGCCAATGGTTCCTACGCGACACCTGTTTTCTGATATGCCCCCGACGAGCCTGTTGGGTTATTAGCGGTCAAAAGGAAAGCTAGAAATAGAAAAAAAGGGACTACCGTGTGCTGTTTTTGAAAGGGCTTGGTCAATCCTGTTTGCGGCGATCCTTCCAATCTTGGCAAGAGATTGCTTGCCGATACAACACTGATAACATGTTGGTCAAACACCCCTTTACGTTATGACTAAATTTGTCATCAAGCCAAATTCATGTCGGGATATCGATTTTACTGGCTTCTGAACTTAACTTTTTTACTGCAAGGATAAACACTTTATTCGTATAGTCTACCGAAAGCTCTAGATGAACAGTCGACAACGTCATACCCAATGAGAATTGGATGCACGATCCTACAGCAACCCTTTAAAGACTGATATTGTTCTCGTTGTTAAATGGAAGTCCTGGAAAAGTCCCGTATTTGGTATTAGTTCTCGTAAGTATAAGGACGTGTATCTTTGCATCTTTTGTATTAATTTTTGTTTTTCTGTAATCGATTTGAGTGAACGTAGCTGGTTTTATACGGGTAATTCAATTAAGCAGGGAAAGAGTTGTAAGGATTAGATCTCTTTGTAGCGTTAGTAAAAAGCTTTAGAGTTGTGGTCGTTTGGAGTAAAAAATATGCAGGCACCTCGAACTATTTCACACTGAGCTAACGCGTACAGACACAGTGGCAATGTATAGATATTGGCTCCTCTATTCGAATATGGTATTTCCTCAATATTGATATTAAGAGTAGACTCATATACCCTCTAGATCAAATCTCGCTAGATCTTCTCATTTTTAGGTTTTGTGCAAGAAGCTCACAAGATACAGCGCCAAAAAAACTTCTTAGATGTCCGCATGCTTTTTTCGTACATTGAAATCCATGTTCATTGAGAATATATACAGAGAAGCGCCTTCGAAACACACACATTTCCACCAAACTATCTGCAACTATTTTTCTAGGCGTCTTCTTGCTATTGTCATAAATTCAACGTCTGGTTGCGTTGCCTCGTTGGCCTTCACTGGTGCGCCCTGACGCGAAAACAATGAAAAAAAAAACCTACGAGCACCGGCGGGGACGGTACATCACACCGAACAACAGGAAAATTCAGGCCCATACTAACAAGCGACGGTTCATGACTGCCGTGGAAAAAGTAATTTTTTTTTCTAGATTCTTTTACAAAAACGTTGCCGATCGCTATTACTACCTACCTACACCTACTGAACAGCAATACCAGTTACTGCTGATAACATTATCAACAGGCTGGCGACTCTCCTAGCAGTCGTTAGCAGAATAAAGTGACAGCACGTAAAATTAGTGGGTCTTCCGTCGAGCGTATATAGCTGTGGTTGTCGATCATTCAGGCCCTGAATATCTCGGCCGAACTGAGGTATCATAACAGATTACATACGCCCTCATATGAAATGTCCTAATAAAGCTTTGCAGCCACAGAGACTATACCTTGACAGCGATGTTGTATTAACAAAATCGTCCGCTTGGTCAGCCCAACCCCACATCCGACTGACCTTTCGTATCCAGCAATTCAGGAGCAGAAAATTTTCGAAGCATTCTATAGAAAGGCTTGGTCATATACAAACTTCTTTCAAGCTCCCATAAAGTTATCTTAATGAGTTCGGTATATGTATGCGCTACGCGTTGTAGCTATAGATAATAATAGCATGACAATAGCAGCCGTGACCTTCACATAATAAGGACCTGGTAAAAAATGAATGGCATTGAAGTGGACGTTGCGATTCACTGTCGCGCAAACTCTGCTGCCACTCAATTAGGCCACGCAGTCATCATAAGCAAGTCAGGACACTATGCGATTGTATGTAATTTCTTTACCTTCTGCCCTTTGGCATACGAGAGGCATAAATTCGAGGTCAACTTTGGCCTTCCTAACGGACCTAGGGCCCAAACAACGGAATACCTCTGAAAACCTAAGAGCAGACGATTCCAGCTTCATTCATTAGCCTATCAAAAGTGATCGTATGAGGCACTAGAGGGGATTTTTGTTGTGAAAAAGAATAGGAATTCAACATCGTACGCAATAAAAAGAGACACTACCGTATTCTCACATGCTGTACGCACACACTCACGTTACTTTTTAAATATTAAATAAATATGGATGGTATGTAGTAGAAGGGTAAAAACAAATGGTAACACGTTAACTTTCCATAGCAGCGGTGCAATCTGTTTTTGCGATCGAAAATTTGCGCGGGGACGCAGTAGTCTTAAATGACTGTACTTATATGTAAGATTTTACCTTGATTATAATGATATTTTATACTATAATCCGTCGTTCGATCCTTATTATTGCATCAACAAGAACTAATATTTTTATTAACAAATATAGAATAAAAAAGCAATAGTTATTATTAAAATAGTGCCGCGAAATCCACCATTTTTCGATGCAGCCTCTTGCTACTGAAAACCGCTCATATTAAGGTCACGAAGCTCTTGCCAACTTTGAAATGACTACGGAAATTTAACGCTGTGTTACGTGCTACAACAGAAACCTTCCTGTGGTTGCCTACTATACTAAACTCTGCAAATATTGAAGACCCTCTGTGTTGCGCCCATTTTTTCCAATAACTGTTAAGTGTCAGCGTAGAAAAAAAGAATTGACCTAAGGATTTCTAGCACTGGGGAAGAAAGTAAAGGAAACTATATCATAATCCAGAAAAGTTCTTACATACTAGATAAAGTACCATCTGTGAGCCGTGCGATATATAAATAGCCTATCTGATTAGAAAAAATAAATGTTGATGTTCCACGCCACATAATGTTAATGTACCGTAAAATTGACGTGACGTTCATGGAACGACTGGCACAATGTCTGCTGTCAACACATTACCCAGCACATACGCGATAAGTCCAAATGGGGCTAGGCTACTGCTTGAGTTTGCAGTAGCTAAAGCCTGAGCAACTGGAAAAATCTTGCCCCAAACTTGCCACAGGCCAAAGAAGGCCTCAACAAATCTCTTGAACTATGGCGCCCCTGACACGGCCGAGACGCCACAATCATAGAACATGGTAGCCTTAGAACGTGTTAGGCTCCTGCTATCTGTCCCGTGGTCCACTAAGCGTGATTTCACACCTGTGTAATTATAAACCAACAATTGTTGAACGAATCCATATTTTAGTTTGTCCTGTGCAAGCAGCATCATTGAAACCAACTGGTAGTTTTATCGTGTCGAGAATAAAGCGTTAATATACGCAGTGTACAACGTCCTTGTCACAGTTACGTCTGTCCAATGCCTGATCCAATTTTACTCATAAAAAAAAGGTAACTACAGAATAACCGCTCATGACCAATACCATTTGCAAATTAGAGATATAACATTGCTATAGATTAAGAAAACTATCGACCGTTGTCGTCATGGCAACCGTAAAGGTGGAGTTTTAATGGTTGAATACTAGTACAGCTGTAATTATTAGGCCTCGTATCTGTATCTCGTATCTACCTGCCATTTAGGCTAGAATAATTATTTTCGTCAGTAATATTAAGGGTATCCATATTAACTGCTTTGCTTTTCATATGCTGTTTGTTTATTGGCCCGCCGTACCTTCAACAACAGTATTTTTCAAAGAGTGCGCCATTCCGGCTTGGTCTAGGAGGGTCACAGGAATCTCAAGGGGTAGTAACAGGCCCAGTGAACCGCAAGCAGAAAATACAAATCTGGGATTCAGTAGTCAACGTGGTCCTCGTTGAAGGTCGAAAGCTTCTTCCGATGGACGAAAATGGCCTCAGCGACCCGTTCGTCAAATTCCGACTGGGCAATGAAAAATATAAAAGCAAGGTACTGTAGCAATGACCTGAATAAATTCTCATATGCAGTATGCATTGCTCCCGAATAGTATTAGCATAATTTCAATTTTATTCCCTCGCTCATTTCGCTGTTTTCGACATTGCTTTTTGCAGTTCTGTCTAAAAACGTTAAATCCACAGTGGCTGGAACAGTTTGATCTGCATATGTACCAAGAACAGCCGAAGGTACTCGAAATCACGGTTTGGGACAAGGACTTCGGAGGTCGTAACGACTTCATGGGAAGGTAAGCACGCAGCGTCGAAAAGCGCTGCACTCTAGAGTCTCTTGTATTCATGTTCTGCGGAGTTTCAACGGCACACTATAACAAACTCCGCCAGTATATCCTGTAGTGTATAGTTCACACGCGGAAGATTACAGCCACTTGAACAATCTACTTCGTGACACGCCCTTTCGTAGGCATTCTAAGGTAAGTGTTGACATCATTCCTCACTTGACGCTCCTACATGGCACCCATTTGGAACAACGCGGCGTGAGCCGCTTCATTTCTTGTCATGTGTCATATAGGAGATAACTCATATGAAAGCTTCTGCATGGGTAGTACCCTCAAAAGGCAAAATCATAACAAACAACCCAGTCCGAGCTGCTGAGCGGAAAGGCAAACACCATATTCTCGAATTTAAGCAGTGGGCATAGAAACGACCAAAACCACCACTTCACAGCTCGATCAAGCTTTTTAAACTGAAACAAGGAGGTCATCGTACCCCTGCTCCGAGAAACCTCTCAGCCGACACATAGGAAAAGAATTAAGAGCAAAATCGAGCGCTTTCGTTAAGTTGAACAAATGGTGGTAAGAAGTGAATCTGGAAAAAGGATTGTCATCATTTCTTCTAACAACTGTCTGATGGTAGCCTGCGATTTTATCTCATTTCGAGTGATCGATGCGGTCAGCTTGACTTCATAATGGTTTTTTGAATAATACCATTGGAGCAGGTATTACTTACTGCTTTTTGTTTTTCATTATCATCAAATGTCTCCATTTATATACAATACAATAATATATACATAATATAAATACAATAATTTACGACAAATAGATTAGTAATTAACCGTTTTTGGTTAAATTTTCAATTCTGATGCTTATTGTAGGATATGAGTACATGCATGGTGCATGAGAAAGAGACGCGTACGGCACTATCTCTGCAAAAGTCGGTGTCACTCGAATGTATCAATATACCATACAGCACATGCCAAATTATATATCCAAAATGATCGCAGTTTTACTGAATAGGTAGCTCAACACGTATGAGTACATATTTGAAGGCAAGGTTTTCACTTCAATGGCATATGAAAGCCATAAAGAAGTATATAATGAGCGGGCTTTTCAGAGCAGACGGTGCAGTCATCTATGCAAAATTGTTAGACCTAAGCACTCTGCCGGCAGGTCTTTCAAACGAGTGTATTTCAGATGTGGCTGGTAACTAATGATAGATTGTTTATGAGAAGTCGTCCCAGTCATTTTTTCGTCGCACGTTTTTTAGAGCTAAAATCTCCTCAGGCCAGTATAATATTGCCATCGTCGTTCTGTTCCTATTTCCTGCAAAGGCCAGCCGGCGTATTGACTAAGCGAGGGTTTTAATAACTTTGAGAAGTGCTCCATGGACTACTTCGAAACCTCCATCTGATATGGAGCCCGGGAATACCGTACTATGACGATGATTAAAAGCACACTACAACAACGCCGACACTATGTTTACATAACGCTTATCAAAATACAAGGATTTACGACCATTCTCAAAAACTGCCACCTTATAGCACGGTGGTAAAAACCTCTGACGGTATAATGTTTAGCCCCAACTTTTCAACAATCGTGAGCTTCTCCTTTTCCTATAAACTAGTTTGTGAACTTTGTATACCCGCTGCGTAACTGCCAATTCTACAAAGAGAAAACGTCGATTTCAAAAGCTTCATATTTGTTCAACACCTGGTTAATGATGCAGTCAATAAAGCCGTCGACGAGGAAGCTACTAAAGGGGGGTTCGAACATTATTCTAAAGCAACTTCCACATGCGGTAGATTATAGTTTCGTACGGCTAGTCGTTGTCCTATATACTAAGGATACCAACAAACGCAATATGTATATGACCCCATGTATGTGAGTGACGTGACGGGAACGCTTTCTGTCGCTTCCTGTAAACCAGTGTCTAAGCAAACCCCGAAAGGTAATCAGTAACAGCGCACCACATCGACTGTTCGAATATACGCCAAGTGTGAGAGCTTAAAGTTGTACTGCCATTTTGTTACTGTCCTTAGCTTTTCTAGCCTGTAGAAACCGTACGGCAAAAGCGCTGGATCCCCGGATAGCTTCACTTGCCTTAGGGCGCATGTCTGAAAACCTTTTGCATTAAAAAGTCGATGATTCGGCATACTATTCAAGATAAATCGTACGGTAGTTCAAAACTAAAGTCGCCAGGACGCAGTGGCAGTTTCCGTCGACCCGCAGCGTCGGAAAATAGCAGGGGTACTAGCATGGCTAAGCAGAAGAATGAAGACTTTCTGTAAAGCGGTAATACGTTTTATGAGGAAAATGAGTGAATGAGGCCCAGTCGATGAAATTCAGTTGCGGTATCGTGCTCGTATATAACTGTTCTTCAGCTGTGGTATTTTACACGAGATATTAAGAATACGTGATAACACTTAGCAATAGCGGTGAGCTCTGCAGAAACTAGTTTTTCCTGTTAATCCAATGTTACTGAGCAAAGTATAGATGAGCTGGAGTGTACTGTTCGCTTAATGGTATGGGGAGCGAGCTTTGGCAACACAAATAGCATGGAAATGATTTGCGGTGTACAATCTATTCTTTCACGCTAAATATATAGGGCGCGGATCCTAAATTAGGACAGATGTTTGTTGTAACGGGCCTGCGTTCTCTACTTTCGCTATTAAACAAAAGCCAGTTCTTTTATAACAAAATAATAGATTCGTCACGGCGAAGAACAGTGCGAAGTTCTCTAAATTGCCAGTAGAAGCCAGCTATTATCCAATTTCTACGCGCTGGAAAAACCCCCGTTCAAGCTATTGTAAACTTTTTGGATAAATCTAAATCGACCATGCGCCATGCCGCGTCGCAAATAATACGTAACTGCAGAAAAAACAGAAGTAAATTCTAGCCTACCACAACGAAAAGTCCACGACAAGGAAAGAACGGTGCGAACTTCAACGTTAATCACTGACGTCCAAAAATGTATTTCGAATTATCCTTCTGAGCACTGATGGGAAAATTCGGTGTTATTGAGCATACAATATGAACGACTGTTGCCGAATAGCGTAGGTATACGTAAGACGTCATAACGGTCTGGATGTTAGAACGGCCAGATGCTTTCTAAGGATCAATTTAATCATAGTCAGAGATATAACCGGTGTTAACAGCTGAAAAAATGGGGCAGAAGGTGGCAAAACATTTCTTATTTTTCTTAAAAAGGATCGCTGATTTGCTAACCATCCAAATCATGTAATTATTATGAATAGAAGCAAATGCTTCAGCAGAGTTTGTGCTTTGATCTGTGATGTCCAGTGAAGGAGGTGTCATGCTACCATGCATATTCTAGAAGAATGAACGCATAACTGAAGAACTTTATTTGCATATTCTATAAAAGCTGTTGTGCATCCATGGATAACTGAAACACCTGAAAGAGGACTATATGTCTTCCGATATGCGCAGCGTTGGAAGTTGAAGACATGTTCTGAGATGAGGACGTAAGGGCACCAAACAGTTCTTCATTTGGACACGATAAATCATAATATGTGGCGCACCACTGACCAGAAGCCCAATAATTCTTACGTCAACTTGCTAGCTCGTGGTATTAAGGAAGTCTTAGAAAAACTGCAAGGAGAACATTTGAAACGAGCCTGTGAGTAGTTCAGGACCGAAACTGAAGCTGTAATCGCGGGGAATTGTCGTTATATTGAATATACGTAACCATCAGATATAATTCTAGCGTCTGTAGGGAAATGGTTTACACTTTGATACAGGCTAAAAACTAAGCACAAGGAAACTCGTAATTGAGGTCTCATACGCTATATGGAGAGTATTTACACGCAGGTTGGAACAGAAGTTTGTCGATATTTACGAGAAAGTCATTTGACAGTCTGAAAACCTTCATTCTATATATCTGTACAATATACACACTATGTATTTGAACGCTGTACTTATGTAAGATATCTGCCAAGGATATTTCTTCTATTCAAGGCTGATTATTTAGCTGGGAGGTGGCATAGGTACTAGAACTATAACTTATACATCTGCGTGTTCGCATGTTTCTTTTTTTCAATAGAGCTAGCATCGATCTTCGTTCTCTCGAGCCTGAAACCACACATCCGATCTGGCAGGAATTGGAGAATGGGGCAGGTCAGATCTTTTTGTTAATCACAATCTCGGGTACTCAGGTTTCGTCTGCTGTCTCTGACCTAGACTCCTATGAACCAATGGAAAATGGACAGAAGCTCATAGCCAACAAATATGTAAGTCTGTCTATATTCTAGACACTCACTGAGATTTTGAGTTTATTACTCTGCGACAGGAAATAAATAGCCGCGCATGAACAATGCACAAGTGGTTCCATCTTTTCTATGCAAATAGATTTTTTAAAGTACTAGAGTAAACTTCCTCGACCTTGAGACAAGATTACTATCCTAGCTATTAGTACTTTAAGCAAGTACTTCTACAGGTAAATCTCGTTAAATTTGCATGCATACAAGCGTCCTATAAATCAACTATTTGCTTATAGCGTATAGAATTTTTATTCATTGTATCAAAATACACAGCTCCATTTTGAGTTCGGCTTAGGGGATTACAGTCCCGATGAAATCATGTACATCGGCTTTAGGAATTATTTCGAAAATGTTTGCTTGCGTGTTTGTTTGTAGTTGGGTGTTCGGGTCGTTCTGAAACAGTGCTACCGATTTCCAACTGTAACGCTGTTGAGAGATCTTTGAATTTTGATCAAACTGCAGGCCAGTGTCTGGTTTCCTTGGTCACTTCTTAAATTATCTATAGTAGCAATCTCTGATTTAAGCAGAGATAATGGAAAAAAAACAGCAGCCGAAAACCCACAGAGAACATGAGTGATCCAGATATAATCTATGATCAGTTATTATAATGTAGCAATATTAAAGCACCGGCCGGAAACTTTAGTAACAATGACGTTTCCAACTGTTACAGACCTTCGCCAATAGCTTTCGAAATATGAACGAAGTTGGATCTCTTGTCGTCAAAGGTGAACATTTTCATAATAAACGAAATATTACTACATATTATATATATATTTATATAATATGACATTATATACAATATTTATATAATATACATTTAATTTTACTGACAGTATCAAAAAACATGGTCAGTGCTTCCGATTAAATTGGAGCCATCTTGCAAAACTAGTAAGCGAATTGAAAATAGTGCACTAAACAATGCGGAACGCTTTATCTGTATATTATGCCGAATAGCTCTGAATAGCTGATCAAATGCAGAAGCAGACTGTGGATCTTTCCTCTACGGATGCTTATAAGCATGAAGTCGCCGAGGAGTGTCTTCATTTTTTTACTACCACTTAGAGGCCTCGTCGCCTTCCAACTGCATTAATTACACCTTCTGATGCTTCATTCCTAGTTCCTTCCATAACAAATGAAAGGATAACAGAGTCCTGTAGCTAAGGATAATACTCCAGTACCTTTAACCAAATAAGTCTGTGACGTTAACTCTGAAGAGGCTAGTCTATACCACATGTCTCCTTTTTTACGAATCAACTGTCGGCATCTGCGAAAAATACCCAATGGGGCGCGGAATAAATCTCTCTGAAAGACCTTCTTTAAAGAAACCTCCCCAACGTAAGAATCTCTTCTACTCCGACCGCATTCAAAGGTTACTGTCAGGTAAGAGGTCGTGAGCTGTTACTGTTCATGCTGCTAGAAAACTGGATAGCTACCCATCGGTCCAGCCATCCATGCTTCCCGCCAAAATATTTTCTAATAAAAGGCTTACTCCCACTCGAAAGTGTCCTTGAGGGCCATGAACCGTAAGACACATCTCCACCTAGCGCTAATGGTGTGTGGCTTTTCCGCGTAGAGCCGTTAACAACGGCAGTTGATCTATTCTAGCGAGACAGCACTGAGCTTGACATGTTTAGCCGAACTCGACGAACGCTCATACTTGCCGTTGTTGGTGTTAAATACCAGAGAAATTGGTTAGTCTAAAGGATGTCCCCGTGATAGCTTAGTGGGTAATGTATTTACCTGTTAATCTTAGAATCATGATGTGGTCTAGCTCCGAACCCGGGGATAGATACACGTTGTTGTTTCATGCTAGTAGCCAGCTGTCTGATGAAATGGCAAACGACGATATCGGACGAAAAACCTACAAAGGATGCTGTGTCCTATAGGTTCATTACATCGTCTGATTGTCTGAAGCCAGCTCCAGTAGCCTTATTGCGGTTGTCCCATTATCAAGGACCATTACGACTCTATTATGAAAAGGCTTCATTAAGAAGACAAAATCGCTTAGTCTCTGCGTGGAAAGAGAAGGCTAAAAATATAGATAAACTTGCATAATTGGTTCCCTGTTTTGACAGTGATGACATGACAACCGATCAGCCATCATTGATTTATTGTGTACGCACCGTCTGTTTACAGGATACTTCGATGCGAGATATTTGAATATTAATTTATTACGTCTTCAAACAACAGAGATCGCTTATTGCACTCTTTACATGTAGAAAAAGGGTGTACGAAACGGGCTCAAAACGAGCTCAAAGAGGTTTGCTGTTCTAATTTTAGCTAGGTACTATTTAACATTATCTCAATATTACTCTGTGTTTTAGTGTTTAAGGCGATGGGTTTGACAGCGGCTGATATCGGAGGTAAAAGCGATCCATTCTGTGTTCTCGAGCTCGTCAATACCCGACTACAAACTCACACAGAATATAAGACCCTTTGCCCAGAGTGGAACAAAATCTTCATATTGTTAGTATCAGTTTAGTGAAACGCAACCATATTTATCGAAGTAGTTAACTAGTCCATAAGAATCAGGTAGTCCGGTCCTCGTTGAATTTTAGAAATTTCGAAATTTGACTATTTGTAGTACTTTTAAATGTTTTTTTTTTACGTTAAAATGTTATAATATTTAGGTTCTTTGTACCGCTGCGTGATGTTTAATTAAAGTGGATATACCTCCGTAGTATGTTTAACTCAGTTTTTTTTGGAGAATGGAGCATTTTGGCTCAATTGGCCTATTGGCGTCGGGAGCTATTCCCCTTTTTCTCAATGTTAAAAACAGTCTGAAGCCGCTCTTTGCTAACCTTAAGGTGCATTTGGGTACGCCGCTTTATGTTTTTAATAACCACATATTATAGTACAAGCGATATTTGCGTATACCATTTAGGACTATTGCTGGCTGTCAAAAACACGTAAAATCGGTGCAAATTTTGCGATTTTGCTTGCACCTTTATTTCTTATAAACCAGAAATCTTTTTTCATCTTACCTAAGAGTTCACGAGTGTGATACAAAGCAGAACTTTCTAAGCAGAACTCTCTGAAGATAACTCCAACGTTTCAGCCTGTTTTAAATATTTTAGTGAATTTAGCCTAACGGACTATGCTATAAGAGGGAAAAGTACTTCCAATGCTGGAAAATGGGAAATATTGTAGACTGAATGATAGAATTAGAGAAAGAGTTGTTACATGATTAACAAGCGAGAATAATGGTATTTTTACCGCTGAATCCTGAGGGAACGAGTGTAAATGTTATATTTACTTTAGTTCAATCATAATTTAGTTGTTATTGTTTGGGTCGTTTCATTACTCATAAAAATACATACACTATACTCTTCGCATGCCAACCCTATTATCGCATCCGTTACAAACCGATTAAACAAAACGATAATTCACCTCTTTATTTAACGAAAGTCCTCTTTTGAGAGTAGTGCTCCTCCAGTGCCCGATTAACGCGATTATGGACAGGCAGAAAACTGCCTTTTGTTACATTGATTGTTCTATAATTTCTGAACTGCTTGATACAAAAGTCTCACAGGCTATGGCCTAGAATAGGACAAAAGCATGCCGGGCTTTTTACTACTGGCGACACTTATCTTCTAATGTCGACGGAGACATGCGAGGTTTTTAGACGTCTATGGGTTCCTTACAAAAATATTTGAAATACTTGTTGTCTAGGCAGCTCCACAGCTTTTCTACTAGGGTTCAACTCAATGCTAGTTGGCAATTTTTTAACAATATAACGACGGTGCTACGTAAATGCTAATTACAGTAAGCTGCGAGATATTCACTCCGTACTCGAACTCACGGTCTATGATGAAGACCGGGATAAAAAAGTAGAGTTTTTGGGCAAGCTTGCGGTGCCCCTAGTCAGCATACGTAACGGTGAAAAGAGATGGTACCAGCTCAAAGATCGCGAACTCAAAAAACGAGCCAAAGGCCAGATCCTTCTTGAGTTCGAGGTCGTCTACAATCCAGTAAGTGCCGCTCTGGTTCCGTTTCGCATACACACAAGCATTGCCTCAGCGTAGCACCCGTTCAAAAGAACAATTAAGTTCAATAAGGTTAAAGTACGACTGGAATCAGATTTCCAAGTTAAGATAATAATAGCTTAACTGAAAATAAGCAGCAGTATTAAGAATGTTCGTTTAGTGCGTTAAAAGAGGTACATAAACGAACAACTTACAGCGTGCTTTAAATGTAACTAGCATATTGCTTTCTATTATTGCAAATTCTCAATTACAGATCAAAGCGTGTGTACAAACATTTACTCCAAAGGAAGTGAAGTTCATGCAGATCGATCAGAAATTTAGGCGGGTTGTAAGTATAGCCAACCAGCATTAAAAAGATAATTTAAATAAAGTAAAAGACTGGGTTGATCACAAAGCAGGGCTCGACTGTCTCACCTTCTAACAGCATCGAGCACTACAGGACGTCGTCCTGTTAAACAGATGTCATTACATTTGCAACAAGAAAAGGAGTCAGCCAACGTGTTACCCAGTTTGGCCGTCGCGCAATTGCATACAGACAGCGCAGAATCAGACGTATTGACGCTCCCTATTATTTCCAACACAAGACTACGAAGTAGTTTTGAGTCTGATGACATTCTGAGGTCGTTTGCATTCTTAGCGGATTAACAGACGTCATAAGTGGAACGAGGTCCGTCTCGAAGAGGCGCAAAATCTCTTCGATTTATGTAACGGCCAACGAAATAGTTCTTGAGACAAGCATGCCCTACAACGCAAAATACGCAAAATCTGTGAAGAGTAACTTACTTGTTTGTATATGACAACATTAAAAAAGACCACATACCGGTCTTCCCAAAAGGAGTCACCTTGAATGATACCATTTCAGATGTAGCGACCAAAGTCGCCAATAAAATGATGAGGCTTTTTACGTGTGCCATAAATCAAGCTCCGGATAAAAATAGACCGGTGCATCGACTAACCCTGATTCATCATTCTTTTCCAAAAAAAAAATCAGTTTGCATTGAATTTGTTTCTTGAAATAGAATGAATACGGTGCACGGAAATGCGCTCTGTTCCCACCTTGAGTAAATCTATAGAACCCATTTTTAGCATTTTTGTCGCTAGCAATTACAGTTGCCGTGTGCTTTGTCGTCAGGTGTTCATGCGAAACGTGAACCGGGTAAAGAGTCTAGTGATGCATATTGTCGAAGTGGGCCGCTTTGTCAACTCCTGCTTCCAGTGGGAATCCGTTCCTAGGTCCATTATCGCATTCGCAGTAAGTACGGCCAGCCTAGGTTAGGTCACATCGACCGCACAAACAATGTTACAGCATTAGAGGGCGTACGCTTGTAGCGCTCTGCTACTAATTGTATGCATTGTACGGCTGACTGGACACTCGGCCATTCAGACCGAAGTACGCTAAGCCATTTTCTGTCAATTGTAAGAGCCTGAACAGGCTCGTTGATTTTCAGTGGAATTCGTTAAGGTATTGGGTCCAATTCATTGAGCCAGTTTTAGAAAAATGCAATACTCGATAGTGCATCGCTTACTGAAAAAGTTGTCTTAAGATCCACAAATATTCAGTTTTCAACGATAATCTTAGCTGATAGTGTTCCCCTCTATGGATTGTTCCTATGCATCGCTTACATTAGCTTATGCTTGCGCATATGTCATCTTATGATTTCTACGCAAACGAAGTGTAATTACTCAAAGTTTGGCTTGCAAAAAGACTTCCTTCAACCCTTTCTGAAGCAGACGTCGTAATGGAGGCCTATGTCGAACAAAACTTTAACTTTCTCTATCTGTTCCCTTTAATTCTCTTTCAGTTGTTCTTGCTGATTACGTGGACAGCGGAGTTGTACATGTTCCCTTTAGCGTTGTTATTGATATTCGGTAAAAATTACCTTTTCGTTCAGATGACTGGTTCTGCTGGAGAGGACGAGGTACGTGAAAAGCAAATATACATAGATCTATATGTATTCAGTTTGTATTAGGTCGGGGCAAGAAATTATTATACAGAAACTGAACATTTGCTATACCCGGTTAATTTTGACGCGAAGTTGACGCGTCTTGCTCTCCGAACTCTTCTGCATTGGCGACATTGCTCATGTTTTGTCTGCGATCTTGAGTAGCAGTTCTCTGTTCGATTAAGTCACCAAACGGCGCCGCCCTCTTCGTCACTCTTCTGTCGTTAGAATGTAGTTGAAACCGTCTCGAAAGTTCCGAGTGGCGGACGAATTTAAGAACTGGAAATCTAGATTCGACAACAACAGAAGGCAGTAATGAACCGTAGACTTTTTAAGCACGTGGGAATTTCACCCAGTCAACTTGCGAGTTGTCCGTACAGTTAATAACTTACGCTATCCCAGGTTGCCTGAGTGTGCTAGAAAAGTTTCCGGGACGGGAACGTGTTGCCATTTTCCAATCGCTTCGTCACGCGATCTCATTACCTGTCGACAGGAAGAGAACTAATCTCTCACAAAAAATGTTCACGACCACAGACAATATTTGATGATAATATTTGGTGCTAGCAATCTCGGTTAGATATCGAGCGGTTGCTGGCATCGTGAGAAGATCGTACAAGAGTCGATGAAAATGCTCTCCTATACGCGTGTGGAACGCGAAGCAATGGTAAGCGCTTTAATATGAGCGAATAAATACCACTTAGCACCTTTAACTGAATAACTAAAACGATGCTTCAAGAATTCTGGAAAAGTGAAGAATTTTATCGTGTAGTATAAACCATGGACGAACCACGGTGACAAAAGTTTTCTTGGAAAGGGGGAGGAAACATTTTGGCAGAAGTCAATTTTTTTAAAAGTTAGTAGCATTTTAGGTAGGTGGAAAAACGAAAATATTTTTAACGTACCTAAGGTTCAAGTTGCGCTTTAATTTTTAAGGTGATATTTTTCCATTTCGCGTAGATTGTGTCGATCTGCTATATGGTTCGGAACGACCTAACCGTTTCTAGCTTCACAGCTGAGACTTCTGCGGTCGTACCCCGAAATTCAGTCGGCACGAATTATAGGCCAATAATTTCGTAGCGAAACCGTCTTCTGGTATCAGCTCTTTATTGCATATCATCGCTAAATTTCATCGTAACGCGGTGTATTTAAGCTGATTCAAGCGTTGCCATATGCTACGCAACATGGCCGACTGCAGGAAGTATTATAACTTAAATTCATGCCACACCGACCCAGCGGCTCACACTTGACATCTCAGTAAAACGAAAACGACCGAGAGAATGTCAGGAACTTCTGTTTGATTCCGGGTCCATTGTGCTGAATTATAAAACATATACAAAGAAAAGCGGCTCGGCATTACTAAGGCTCGTTACTGAATTCGTTGTATATTTCCAGCTATGCGATTATAATGAAGATGACGACGATGAAGATAGAGATCGTCCGGTGAGTAAGTGTACATCAAGTTAGTTTACTGTTTGCCATATAACGACTTGATTTAAAGGAATAAAATTGATTTAATATGGAGAGCAGGGCTAATTTATAGCTAAATCGTTTATAAATTTGCCAAACTTACATTAATAATAATAATAATAGGCTATTTAATTGAAACTTTTAAAAAGCCTTCTAAACTTAAAAAAAAAAGGTGCAAAGCAGGCGACGGTGGTTACGATATCGCGATACGATTTACCTGTATCGTAGAATTACGTAAATTGCGTAACTTAATACGTTCTAAAAGTTTTCGACAAGCACACTTTTGATTTCTTTTTAATTTTCATATTTTTTATTACATAATATATTATAATTTATTTTTTCAATATATGCTATTAGCGTTCGCGTATTTCGATCGATTGGCAAGCACGATTTTTTACCAGTGCCAAAATTAAGCCTGAATTTTGGATGCAACTGAATAAAACAGAATTGTCCGCTGCTCTACTGTTAGGCTTCTAACTGAGAGTTTGTAATAGTTTTCATTAGATTCCTATATATCACTGTTTATTTCTACATTAAGGCCTTTACATTATCGTTTCCCGTATTCGTTTTTGTGTCATCATAGTTCTATTTGACTTTTTCTACTTAACTACAAAACTGCGTGTGTTTCGTTCCGTTGACAGAAACAGCCCAAGCCGCCAGTGAGTACCCTATTCATTCACAACCATTTGCTGTTATTGCCCTGCTACATGTTGTGTCTTTGTTTAGTGACGCCAGCTTTACAATGCCGTTTTGTTCTTTGGATAGATACATTCTTTTTTCTTACTGGTTACACACTGGCTGTGTCTCTAACGATCGCGTGCGTATTTTTTACACCATTAGAGAGGTTCCCTGGTCAAATCGACGGACGGAACGTCAAATGTAGTCATTTATATCCGAGGCCTACCCTATTTTCAGGAAGAGAAGAAGTCGTTAAAAGAGCGTCTTCAGGCGGTACAAGAGATCACTGCCATGATTCAGAATGTACTTGGTCAGGCAGCATCTCTCGGCGAAAGGGTCAAAAAGTAAGTGGTATACGATAATTTAGTCGTAAATCGATATTCAGACGATAAGGAATTAGCTTGCTGCTTTCTGAGCTATGAACTCGATACATATAAGTACATATACATATAAGTAGTTATACATATAAGTAGAAATCACTTCTTAGCCCGTCCAGTCATAAGTACCTCAAAGTTTCACTTATTCACTAGGACTATATTTAACGCTGTGAGTTCAAGCATTTGCTCACACATTGGGAATAACCGAAGACGTAAGGAAGGTCACTGCAGGCTCCCACAAGGAAGGAATTCAATGTCGATGGGTTTTTTTTTTTGCTTAATATTGCATTGATTTCTCTTATTTTTATTTATGTAAATTGTTTTAGTACGAATTGTATCGGATCGGTCGGATATTTCAGGTAAGTAACCTGTTCCAAATAACTTTCACACTACTGACTGGTACACGAATAAGGCCTTTAGCGGCATAAAGGTAACTTCATTTAATGGTAATTTGGATCGAGTTGAACTCGAACTAACGTGTATATATATATATATATTTGCGGTATATTCCTGCACTGATCTCTGTTCCTGATTGTAGTACATTCAACTTTAGCGTTTCGTTCCTATCGTGGCTAGCAGTGGTTGCATTGTGCGTAGTTTCCCTGCTCCTCTATCTCGTGCCGTTACGCTACATAATTCTCATATGGGGCATTAATAAATTCACAAGGAAGCTCCGAAACCCTGATGTGATACCTAACAACGAACTGCTCGACTTTTTATCCAGAGTACCCGACAATGAGGAACGGGTAAGCGTTCAACTCATAGGGCCAAGGTTGAATAGTCATTGCCGGCGATAATGGCGATTCGCTACCAATGAAATCCTTTGCATGAATGATCAAACTAGCAGAAACATTTCTAGGAATATTCTCAAACGTAATATGTGCATGTTTACGCAACGCGTACGATGACTCGTTGGTTTCCCTATTTCTGTCTCAGAGAGCCACACAAAGTTGTCGTTTTGCCCTAACTATCAGATTATTCCTTTCTTTTGTCTCACGTGTCGATAGCTAAACAGCCGCGAGTTGAGGCCCGTACAGGCTTCGTCGGGGGAGGCCGACCGGAAAGCGCGCAAGCGGAAATGACGTCACGTGCAGCCGCACTTCCGGTGCACCGCTCCTGCCGAAATGCCATATTTGCAACGGACTTCGGCACACATTTGGCAAGATTACGGTAACACGAAAAAGGACGATGTCCATGTTTCTTCGAGTTGTTGCCGATCTGGTAGCATCGAGTCTCATTTGCCGAATCTACTCATCATCCGTACCAGTAGCATCATCTCAAGCATAATTTACAATGATCGACGGAAGGGCCGATTTCATCAGCTTCCTACAGATTCAACTATAATTATTGCTACTGTTGGTAATACAGTTAAAAAGCAAATGACGTCAAATTAGGAATCAAAAATTGTAGATCAGAGTCGAAGCTCGCTGTTTGCCTGGCGCTGGCTAACAGCATTGAAGAGACCGGACTCGTCAACGAGATCCGATCTCAATATTGGATTCGTTCGTGGTAGCAGCAACAGTTGTCGGTAAACATTAATGACCTTTATTGATAATCTTTTACGGCGATCATCGCTGCGTTATACATCTAAAATAAGAAACAGAAACAATGAGAGAATGATGGGGAACTGCTGACATCAGATGTATCTGATGCTATTCTTGTCTAATCTCATACGAACGTTAGAACAAACAAATTTTTCAGCTTTACTAGGATGTTTGCCTTTACTTGTACAATGGAGTTTCGATATGAACTCTTCCTGTTACTATCTTAATTGGTACTCCGAGACGTCATACCTAAATAGAGGTAAACAACTATTGAACATGGGACGAAAAGCTGACAAGCATTTTAATCAGACCGCTAACTTTCGACGATAGGTTATTTGAGGAACTAAGTTCTATATTCGTATTGTTGGAAATAGTTATGATTACACATATACCGTATTTTTGTATAGCTATTTTACAATTACGTTTATTATTCGAGATGAAAAGACGGACACTTCTTTGGGGTATTAGTTTATATTTATGAGCATATACAAATGCTGAAACAATTTTTGCTCTCGGAGCAATTCCTGACAGAAACTAACCTGAACGGAAGTTAATTTTCTCAGGTGTTTTTATTGACACTTACGTTGTTCGTATTCTATATTTACAATGAAAAACCACCAATGTGCATTATGCTGAAGGGTCAGATAAGTGACATGCAAGTTACTCCTAATTGAAGTTTCATTTGCTTTCTTTTGATCAATTTCTGTTGGCCTAGTCTAACAAAAATACCGAAGGAAAAATATCGTCAGTGCAATTTTTATTTAGATTTCGTACCGCTTATGAGCTGCCGCATGCACTTGGTACAAACAGAATTCGTATTCATATGTATCGGGCACATACACACACGCATATAAACTGAACGTTTTAATCTTCTATTTAAAATCTACATAATTCACGTAGTGATAAAAACCTATCTCTTTTCATTAAACAATTCATTGAGATTAAGTCAAATAACTACGATTTTTACCAATATTATAAAGTACTGCCATAAATATGAGCATTCTAAAGATAACGACTGTGAAAGAACTACCAGCGAATTGTTAGTCAAGCAGCAAATGTATGTGTGCGACCCGCGGATACATACGAAAAGAATATGTCGGCACTTGTCGGCTTTCAGGTGCAATTTGTTTATAGATTGTACCCCGATCTCTATTTCCTAGTGCTATGCCTTCTCTGAGAAGCTTTAGCTCTCTCAAATTCAAGCTGCTTGGTATTATTCAGCGTTTGATAGAGGGAAGTAAGTTCTTCGCAATTTAAATCCAGTTCACGCTGTGAGATCGAAATGTAACGGTAACGCTTTCGGTAAGTGTTCATGTCAGATAAGGGCTGACACTAAAACTACCTACGTAAATACCGAGGTCAACCTTCAGAGCTGAAGGTAATTTGTGATCAGTTACAGTTGAAAGTAAGTGCGATCGCTGTTCTTAGATGCGATGGTCATTCGCTAGCAATCACTCATATTAATCCAGATATTGGTAAACGGCTCCAAATATTAGACATGCACCTGGGAGGGGCAGCAACCCTGCTGGCACATTTCTAACGCTCGATAACTGTTATGCGATCAACAACAGCATTAGATTACAATACTAGTTTTCTCTGGAGTCGTTTATGTCGCGTCCGACATATTCGTGTCATAAACGCACGTGACGGCCGCATTTACTTCGTAACCTGCCCAGACCGCTTGTCGGCCTTGTCAGTTTTCTCAACCCATTTGCTGCTGTTCGTATTGCTATTGACTGATGTTCAGGACCGTTGACTTCGTTCAGTTGGACTTTGGCCGTACTCTTTTCCTCGACCGTCACCCGATTATAGAAATGATGCGAACCCGAGGTTCTCTTTCAACCTTTCAGCTTTAGACTAACAACGTAAACAGCGTCACACAATTATTGCCTTTATTATCTAGAGTTAACCGCTACCAATTGGCTCGTCATATTTCGAACGCGGCGAAGGCAGAAACTACCATTTTATATTTTTGGCGCCACACAACGCCAAGAGACGTCGCTGTACGCGTGGGAGAGAGGAATTAGAGAGGGAAAAACAAAATCATGCCTGAATGAATAGCCGCTAAAAGTTTTTTACGTTTTCGTTTGTCACAAGTGAACGTCTCTGAAGTGTGCCCGTCGAAAAATTTCCTTTTTTTTTATTGAAACACGATAGTCAAATCAGTAAAGGCATTATAATATTAAATATATATGTATATATATATAAAATAAATTACGATGTTAATCGCCGAAGGTCGAAAAACCGTTATGGTGCCGCTCGCACGTTTCAACGATGTTGACTTTGCCAGTTTATACTGACGTTAGTTCGTTAGTGTAGGAATTCGATAACAAGCGCTTGCTCCCGTTTCTTTTCAGTCTCAAACTAGTTGTATTCAAAGCGATGCCTAATCAATTCGTACTATGTACCCATTTGGTTTAGCCATGAGTTTTGTTGCGCGTACACATATGTCTAGTTAGGAGCTTCCTGCGGGTGCGTGTACTCAATTCTGTTCGATTTAGCTGACAGCAGTCCGCTTCTCTACTGCTCAAGCAAACGACATGGCACTGTTACGCATTTACATTAGTTTTTTCTATTTAATATACATATATATATTAAAAAGGAGTCTCTGCAATGCTTGGAAGCTATCTATTGTAGCGGTGGCCCAAACAGGACCGCCGTCAAAGAATCCAGCTACTGCAATGATGAATGCAGGAAAATTAGGACAACGCTTCGAATTGGGAAGCGTAAGCTCTACTAATAAATGCAGTGTTACATTGCGTATCGATAAGCGTCCTCGAATACTCACGTTTTACCAATGCATATCAAACTGTTTTATCTTTGTTAATTTCCTGCATATAATAGCATAACATGAGCGCTAAATTATGTTATAGATTATGTATAGCTGATAGAATAACAAGTTGCTAACGGCCATTGCTACCATTACTCCTATGAAAGACTTGCTGCAAGCACCTCCGAGAATCGCCGAGATATATATATATAAAACTCTTTATGAATATATAACTAGACAGAAAAAGAAACACCTCGATATATATATATATATATATATATATATATATATATATATAAGAGTATCAAAGTGAATATCGTGCCGAGCACAGTTCTTCAACTTTGTTCGCGCCAACGAGTACATGTGAATGAAGTTGACCTTTTGCCAATTCTTAGACAAAAAGAGGTTACATGAGGAATGATGACCGTGAAGACGCTGATAATATTAATCGGCTATTAATTTTTCAAGGCAATAATTACTATACATAAATATGTATTGCTAGTTATATAATTTAGCTGAGTAGATAGGTGAGCATAAAAGGAAGCTTATCTTTTCTCTCAGCAAGAGAAAAAGAACCGTCTTAAAGAAAAAAAAAAAGCTATTATGGTCACTTACAAATGATAACAGTGTAAAAGTGAGAGAGCATGTTATCGTTGTGCGCTTGAGAACGAAAAGTCGTTGGAGATGGATACTGTATTATGAAAACCCTAGCTTCTACTATAACTCGTACGATTAACGTTTGGACGTTTAAATTTCATCGTTTTTAATCATAAGTTTATAAGTGTTGCTATCATTAGAAAGCGGGCTGAAGCGGGTGTTCACCGGTTTAAAGAAAAAATACAGTCGAAAACAAGCCAACCATTTCTCCCGTTACCAAACCCATCATAGGTTTACTGGACGATTTAAACAATTTATAAAAGAAGTATAATATTTTTACAGAAGAAGAGAAAACTGCATTACAGCACCAATCGTTTCGTTTCATTCAATACACAAGTACATAGGCAAACTGAATATATATAGATGGGTCACCCTATTGTGGTACTCTGATAGGGGGGTCACCGATGATTGCTTCGGTGACCCCCCTATCAGAGTCGGAAGATATTGTAATATACGTGATACATGAACTTATTAACCGAAGTTTGACTCAGACTGGAGTGTGGTCTGTTGTTATTGTTGTTGTTGATTATTGTTAGTCTATTAATTAATTAAAAAATCATGAAGATGGCGGGAAGACGTTTGAGTGAGAGTTTAGCCAGGTGATAACAATAAAAGTTAATAATAATAATATAGTAATAAAACAAATCATATTAATTATTTCAGTTGGTACGAAAGGCGCAATATGCTAAAGATAACTTACAATAAAAAATACATGCAATCCTTTAATTTACTGAGATATTCTTTCCTGAGCAGTCGATTTAGGAAATAAGGCATCGTATCGCACGTCCACTGCACAATGCTTAGTCTGTACTCGCATCGATACTAACTTACTTTAATCGCGTGTAGTAAATAAACGTACTAAATTAAATTTCAATTGTCTTGACAAATATTTCTAAGACAAATATGTCTTATAGATTTCTGAAGCTGTTACTACGGCTTCCGTCGTGAACGTCGGAAGTTAAAACTGCTAGGTAGTTACGGATACGAACGGCTAGATTACTGTTGAACGTACAGAGTGTTCGGAGTTAATTGACAGAAAATTGCTGTCGCTGTTGACAACCAATATCTAGACTAAACCAGATGTCTTGATAAAACGCTTAGGCCGTTCAGGCAGGCACGTGACTTGCAGACGTATTTATTCGTCCGTGCAGCTACTATTAACTTTGAAAAAATACTGATAAAAATCTCGGAATTTTTCCAAAGCTACTTGGGAACTGGCGATCGCTCAGACTGCCGATTTCATCATATACATAAGTGACATGAAAAAACCCTGAAAATGCTGTGCTTAATTGGGCCGGGCGGATTAGCTAGACAGCGAGCTTTGTACCAGTAATCAGTCCTGTGAAAAGCCCGTTGGAACTAGCCGTTGTCGCTCGATCAACGCATGGAAAAATCGGCAATCGTTGATAGTGTTGGCAACTAATCGAGACATTAGAAACTCTACTGCATTGGGACCTTCATGGTGAAATCATAGTGCTTCTCAAAAAAGCTTTCAGAGTGATAATAGTTCGCTACGGGTGTAATTATTTTGGGAACGGAAACTGTGACGCTGAGGAACAAAGCTGGGTCAGCGTGTTGTAGCTCCCATCGAAACGCGACAAGGCTAGAGAACAGAAAACGAGCCCAACAGCGGCGTGGTGACGTTTCACGGTGACCAAGGCGACAGCATGAGTGATAGTAATACGAAATTATAGCTGCGAAAGCGTTGGATTGCCTACTACTCAATGGCCGTTGTCTCTGGCATGATAAGTGTCTCGCTTCTTTTCAAAGAGAATTGCCCATTTTAATCGGCCAGCAACACAAGTAGCGGATGAACTAATGCGAATGCTCGCGAGCACTCCCATTTTATCCCGGATACCCAATTTATTGTGCGTTCCCATGCTCATACATCTATGTTTCGAGTTTTACGTTTCGTACTGACAAAAGAACCCTATTTGCTCTGCCAAGCTGCCATAATGTCAGGCATAAGGACGAAATGTACGACTATATAGTAATGAATACGCCGAAAAAAGACATCATTCAATCTTATATGCATTTTATGTGTACACAAAGAATATATGTATAGGGTAGTAGTAGTAGTGGTATTATATATGTCATACTCATGATACAATATAATGCTACGCTAGATTTACATGTTTACTTTTGCATGCCGTATATGCAATATACAATGCGTGAAATACAATGCCCTGTTTTGGTCCTCGACGGAAGGGGAACGAGAGCACGCTTTGTCTTCAGCTTAAAGCACACAAATAGTTCAGCCCGGCAGTTATACAGATGGCACTAATTATATCGAACTACATACTGTCGAAGAAGAAGTCGATCGAATAAATTTGCCGGAAGACTGAGTCAACGTTGTCGTTATGAATGGTAAATTATATAGCTTGAAGCTCACCTGCAGTTGGTAATGATAGTGAGAAACTGAAATGAAGTCATTAAGGCCAGTCGTAAAAACAAAATTTTAAATGCATTAACATGATCTTTTTGGACTGTAACTGGAGCCCCACGAAGAGATTCCTTCCCTGACCCTTAGCGCTCCACAGTAACATCTCTTATTGATTACTATCTGAGCCATGCCGTAGGCGAGCTAAGCACCCCCGAAGCAGAACAGGGTAATAGAAGGTGGGAACGAGCAGTGTTTTACGCGTCGAGCTGCGTTCCCCACGTTCGTTACAGGACGCTTAACTCATTAACGTTATAATGTGTGTGTGTGTATATATATATATATATCCCGACTGTACTACGCATGCAATTTTACGAAGGTGTTTGTGCTTCTGTTCCTATGTTTTCCTTACAAATACATAATATATTCAATATTAAAGAATGTGTGTGTATGTGGATGTATATAGAAATAAGCTGCATCCCGACGTGCGTTTCCGTTACTTTGATAGTAAATCATCCTGTTTCATAGTTTCGATATTCACACGCTTCACAATACAACGAAAGTAATAAGAGGACATTTATCCGTCACCGCTTTGTCTAGTTCATCTAAAATAGCACGCGATACACCGTCGACTCATCACACACTCTGTATCAAACATACGCTCACCTCGGTGTCAGTTAGTTTCTTTTGTTTATATCAATAGTAGCATTCTCTTAAATTGCCGCATATATGCGTAGAGAAAACGGCATCTGAAAGGCTTCATGAAGACGGCCATGTTTAGCGCTCCCCTTGGTCATTCAGGTTCGGCGAGTACAAGGTAGGTGCTCGAGACGAGGTAAAAATGGAAATGTCTATGGTTTGTTAGCCAATTTTCGTCAATTTATTAGGTTGAAATTGTCCGAAATGCTCCGTTGCTCGACAGGAACGTTCTACAATTTAGGCATCCAGCATTCGCTTATGGCAATGGTCCTTCGAGGCAGGCAAGCTGATGAGAACTTTTTAGGTGCCAATTAGCCTTAACCTAACAATACCTCGACTAACAGTCGAGGTATTGTCTATCGATGGTCAATTAGATATTTTTTGTTTTACGTACGGTTTTTAGTAACTTTGACATACGCGATAAATGTACAGTTGTATATCTTGGACCACCGCCTCGTAATGCTATAAATCAACGAATCACGGTGAGTGTTCCTATTATACAATAAGATTTTCCTATAGCAACAACCACGCTACGACGAGTAGGCCTATCAATGCCAGCGGATCGCTGGCAGCCCTGAGATACAAATTCGGTCGGCATCCGATCGTCATTGTACTTCACTTAATAGACAATCATACAACGGTTTAGAGGGGCACGTCCATTGATTCTATCTCGTGGTCATGCACCCGATTTCATTTGCGTTATATTATATAAGCGCAGTGTTATTAAATATGCTACTTAGTAATATTCGCCAACTTTTATATAATTGTCACATTTACAGCTTTAGGTGTATAGTTAAAGGCATTGCCCTCTCACAAAATCCCTCCAAATTTAGCGCTGTTACTCTCTCATTGTAAATGGTGGTCATGTTCGTGTTGTTATTACTATATAATTCCATGTACCGAATGGATTTCGCCATAGTATGTACAAATCATGTGTACTATAATGGTACAGGCACCAGATATCCATTGTGCTATTTCGGTAAACCTGGTCGATTACCCTTTATTGAACTGAATTGAATCACGTCACTCCGTAGATCTAACCCTCATCACCGGTACCATTAATTCAAAACTAGTTGCTGCTAGGGAATAGGGTGGGAATTGTACATACGTAATTTATATTTATTTTTCTCGTATACATAGGTTGTGGACGATATGATGCAATGATGACAGGTAACGCCTTATATCAGTAGCTCTCCTTGCGTTGTCGCTCAGTCGACCTTTTCCCTAAGCTATATAGGTATATAATCATTTAGACCCCCAGGTTGGGTAATAGATTGGCGATTGTAGACGGTTACAACGTTTGTGTAGTGACTTCTGTCAAATATATTCTTGTTTGTATTTATATGTGGGTATGAAGGCTGAGTTAATTTTTATAACTAACGATCTAGTGAAGCAATGATGCTTGTCTGTCGACAATCATGAGTTGTTTTTCTTCGAGTTCAGATATCTTTGAGAAGATGTTCATTGGTAAAGAAGGTGCCCTGAAGACCGATCTCTGGGGAAAACGGCGGATCTTCGGCCTCCAGAAAGTACGTGATCATTTGTCCTTTTCCCTGTAAGTATATGCACGAGAACATTTGTGCGTTTTAAAGCTTAGAACAAATTTAGAAGGCTGGAAACGAGGCATGTTTATGCCTGATTTTGAACCTGGACCGCTTATTTCATCCCTAAAATTTCGTTCATATATATTAATCGTTCCCGTGTCACATTGCAGCGTACGTGATGCTTACCTTTACTTGGATCTCGCCCCTGCAGGTGGTTTTGAATGTGCCGAACGTGTCGAGAAGACGTTTCGTATCTCCTGTGATGTGTATCATCATTGCTGCAATGTAAAAATTATTCAAATAATGTACAATATTAGTTAGACCAACGGATACATGGGTAGCCATACGTGCGAAAATTACATGAATGCAAAAATCACTTCCTTCTTGAGTGGCTTTTTTTTCTTAGTTCAACGGCGACGGCAGTACACACGCCAAAAGGGATTCGATTCTAAACCCCGTGTTTTCCGGAGTGGAGTATTATTCATCACGTTCACAGACGGAGCTCGATAGGCCCTCGCGTTAATCCTACTACAGCAATGCCATTGAAATTAGCAAATAATTCGTTACCCTCTCCGTAGCTTTCCATACGTGAGGCCGTATTAACGGAATCACCAAAAAGGCAATATCTTGGCCTTTTTAACCCCACAACGGCCGCTGCGCAGGGACCTAAAGGAAAGATAGATACAATGTTTTTATTTCTAATCGTCTTACTTCCAGCATTCAACTGCCACTGAGACAGCCGATAGTGACAATTCCATTACATGCAACTGGGTGCCCTTTCAAAGCCGTAGTTCTCAATCTACTTCTAGACCGGAAGCCAATGTCAACGACGCCGCGTGTGATGGAACTGCGTGAAACCAATACATGCGTATTGAGTAAACGCATGGTTTTAGATAGTCTGTTGATTGCAAAAATGTTTGCAACGTTAGAATTACCTGAGTGAACCCCTATACGAAGTTGCAGCTTTTCGGTGGGATGATGCCGAACCCTAAACTGTTTAATGGCTTTGAGCAAACTCAGGGTCATCCGAGCGATTTCCCTGCAAAGCGCAGTTAGTGTCGTATATATAATATACATATATACAATTATTTCCCGATCACTAAGCGAGTCTACTCATAGCTACGATCGAAATCCATAAAATCGTCTACTATAGTGTGCAAATGTAGCCCTATTTGTCACTATAATCCCTTTTTTCCGTAAATGTATCTCTGTTATAGTACTATATAATAATGTTATGATTAAAGGGTGCATCAATAACGACGTTACGACAGATCTAACGATTTGTTATTTCCAGCATAATCGTGTTCTTTTTTCCCAGACCAGAAAGCAGTACATGTTGGCGCAGCGCTTTTTCGAAGTAATTCTTTTCCTGGAGCGTTGGTTGGCTTCTTTTTCTTTTTCAATGGTAATATAAAAAGGATCACATTTATATGCGAGAAAAAATCAATAAAATTCTGATCGGCTCGCTGTTCGCTTGCCGCCAATTCACCTGGCGTGTTCATTTCCGTTACGGACGGGCAAGCCGCTTACGACCATATAGGCGTCGCCGATGGTTTCGACTTTGAACACGTCGTAGTTCTGGATGATTGCGTCGAAGCACGAGTATAGGTCGTTCAGAAGGTCCACCACCTGAGCATTGAAGGCACAATTTAGCACCTGCCTATAGTCCCACAGTTACTGGGAAAGGCCACAGGAACACTTATTCATCTACTTAAGAATTTACCGTGCATTTCATCTGCTGTTCCGATCCTAAAAGTATCACCGTATCACTAAATACGATCGGGAAAATGAAAACAAGAATGAGTCAATTCTACGGTGCCATAGATACAGTTACTAACACGTTAGCGGATACGATGTGCGCATACCGAAACTATGGATAAAGCATCTGGAAAATTGAATGCCAACTCAGTCGGAGCGCTTGCCCATTTACCTGCATAGGTGTTGAATTAGCACAGATCTGCGTGAAGCCTACGATGTCACTAAAACAAATGGTGACCCATTCGAACGCCTCTGGCTTCACGTACTCACCACGTTTCAACTGCTCGGCCACGTACCTAAGCACACAATTATTTTAATTAATCAAGATCAGTGCGCTTCTCTGCCGTTATCGACCGTACTTGTCAACGATCTGTAAAAGCTAGGTACGCTTGCCGCGTGAGGCTAGCTCAGGAGAGGCTGACAGCTATTCGAACGAAACAAACCAAATGCATTTCCTGCCAGTGATCGACCATTGACGTTCTATCTTTACCTGGGCAACACTTCATATAGAAGTTCGTCGCTCTTTCGCTTTTCCTCGACGAGAAGTGCAGTTTTATTTTCAACTAGTTGTTCGAGATTGTTGGCGTATTGTTCCATCCGCTTCAATAGGTTGTCTAATAAGTTGCTACTTCCCATGGACCTGGAAGGCACATAACGGAAAGCGCACAGTATGACCTTTATAGTTACCGTTGGCTAATACCGATGGGTTTTATGGCAGTACATGATACACGGAAAGTATTACGCGATTTTAGCAAACGGACGCCATTTCACGCCTGGAGATACAATAAAAATGTACTACAATGTAAATGTTATTATCGAAGTATTATTATAAGCGAAACCTCTTTTTGTTCTAGTGAAGTTTTTTCTGATTAATTTTCCTCTATCAGTGCTTGCTTACCGATGTACATAAGCATGGCTGCACCGATAATCTCAACACATAATACATAGTTTTATAATACATGAAGGCGAATATCTTCACGCAAACGTTAAGAGTCGCCCCTTAGACGTATTTACTACTTGAATACCTATTTCGTTAGTTCGAATGTCAACCGTCGGCGTACTGCAAAAATTCAGCCCGCTCGGAATCGGTCTTCCGTCGCGTGCACTTTTACGGATTGTTGACTGGCGCCAGCGCGCTACCTTCTAGCTAGCAACTTACTTCGTGTACTTTTTCATGAGTTGCTTGATGATAGCAAATGACGGTCGGAGTGATGGGCTTTCGTTCCAACAGAGCTTCATCAGCGACAGCAGTTCACGAGGACAGTCATCTGGCGTGACATCTGGTCGAAACGGAGGATTCGAGCCCAGCTTGACACGAAAGAGAATTTCTTCGGGTGGTAGAAAATGCCGCGAGTACTTTTCTAGATTTTCGAAAGGGCCCGAACGGGTGATAATCTCTTGCAGAATGATGGCAAAGCTGTACACATCGCCTTTCTGCGAGCCACGCCGAAGAGGCAGGTCGCCTCGGAGATGTTCAGGCGCACACCACAGCAGATCACCTAGTACGATAAGATGTGAAAGATCGTAGCTTCAATATTGAAGTTATAAGTTGAATTTTGACAAATTTTTAGGTAAGATGCGGCACCTTATACGTATGCATTATTCGTATATTACTATACGTACGTGAATGCTAGACGTTATAATTTTATGCCAGGACGCTTTTTGCGCGGTATTCGTGTGAACTTCGAAAAGAACTTGCATTCAAAGAGAGATTAGTTCAGCTTGGTGCGATACTGACGTGTTTGCCTGCTGTTCTAAAAGTAATATGAGGTGATTTGACTTCAAATTCGATTGTAGAGACGCCTCGCTTCTCCGGGAAGCCATCCGATACGCTTTGAACGGTAAACTTCAACGTCTTGAGCAGGGACAAGCTTCTTTCTGCTCTAATATGAATTTTTGTATAGTCAGTCAATGATGCCACGTCTAGCTTATTGAATTGTTTGTTCAGCTAGGGCCAAATAAGTGCTTTTGCTTATCAATATACACTAATTGCGTAGTGCACGCTAGAATTCGGTAGGCTAACAGCATCTACTTCATTGCACTTACGTGGATCTTCAATCTCTGGTAGGGCGACTTGTCTTCGAAGCTCTCGCAGGCCGAAGTTCGATATCTTGACAACAAACCGTGCGTCAATAAGACAAGTTGTCGAACGCAAACGACCGTGGCAACCGATGAAGTTCGAGTGGAGGAAACACATGCCCTGAAATTGTTAACGGCAGTATGTACCTCACTGGCTGAGTAGCTGAATAATAGATATATAAGGTACGTGCTACATGCTACATCGTTCATTAGACCGTTCGTTTCAATCATGGGAGAATGTCTACGACGCCTCTGTGTAACTTTGTTCTTCCCACGCTGCCCTCCAGAAAGGGACGTTCTTCGGTAGACAACGTCGCAGACGAATCAAACACGGTTTCGCCTTCGCGTTATCTCTATTGTCCGTCAGCAACTACAAATAGGTTTAACGATCCATAAGCTTAGCACACTGTTTGTGTTACCCCGAGGTATTTATAAGCACTCTACACCATTGTGCATTATTACTTTACTGCGGGTTTTTTCGTTCATTGATCCACCTTGGCGACATTCGGCCACGATATCCTGTCTTAGAGACCCCTTTGTTTGTTTTCCCAATGATGTTAAGTATTTCCTAACACGGTGAATAACCTAGGTAAGCTTTGGCACTCTATACTGTATATATATATACTATAATCTATACTGTGTAGGAAAATAGATTTCGATCATAAAAGCGAGAAAGAATAAATCGAAAAGAGAGATCATATCAAACATGGCACCAATTCAATTGAGCTCAGATTCCCTACGCCATGCTATACTAATATTGGCCGAAGGAAAATTCGCCAAACGGATCAGTGATGGTGGTGGAAAGTAGACTGAGCTTGTGATTCGCTGTAAGAATCGTTGTATCTAGTTCAAGGTCGCTGAACTTTAACCTAGCACTTGGAATGAAAAACTGCAGGTTGCCAAGTGACAACAGTTTGACCTTCATAAATCAGCTTGCAAAAAGTCAAAAATGGTCAAAATTGTCAGCAATCGCTGCGCAGGGGGCAAAAGCGGGATATGAATGCCGCCTGTAAAAGTTGTGTTGAAATTTTCGAATCACCAAGAGGCGCAGAGGCCAGACAAGGCTTGAGGCTACGTCTTTTCAGAGTACTGTGGCAGCTAGTTGATACAGTACGAGGCGCTGCTGCTGCTACTACATTGTGCATGGTGAGAGAGAGTCGCGGAGCCTGCAAAGACTTATTTGTTGAGCATGCCTTATCAAACGAATCGTATTTCACCTTGGGCAAACTGCCCCTTGTTGACCAAGAGCAGTCGTGAAAGGAACAAAAGGAAAAGCTTCTTGTACTATCACTATCGTGTAACGCCAAATATCAGCGATGAACTGTTTGCTTTTGCTTGTTTGTAACCGTTGACGGTAGAGACGGCGACGACGATGTCGTACGGCGCCATGATATGGCTTTTGAAGGGAACGTTTCGGGGGGTTTTCGTTATGCGCCCCGAATAGTGTAACACGATCAAAATTGCTACAAATTTCTCTCACAGCTGCTCCCTTACGACTATAGTAATAAAATAACGCTAGTGGGGTCTCTGCAACCATATGTACTTGTCTATATACGAACGGAGATGTTTGTTAGCTTCAGCTAAGCCAAAAATCGCGCGGACATCAGTCAGAAAACCAGAATTAACGTTGGCCGAGTTATTGATATGTGGGTAAATATACGATGTGTCAATTTACGAAGTGCGACGACTGTATAGGTAGTAATAGATAGCTGAACAAACTGCAACGAAAAAGTTAACCTCATATAAACTTACCTCGACAATATCGTTGATGATTGAGTACCTAAAGGTCCAGTCTAATCGCAGGGATTCGTTTTCGAGAAGGTCCTGCAATTGATATGCAAAACAGGTTACATAGAATAAAGTATATTTTTTGCTAGTAATAAGTAGTTTTTGCAAAGTATATTTTTGAATTTTTCTTGAAATTTATAATCGATAAATTGTTTCATAAAATGCCGTTCTGTCAAACATCAAATGCCGTATAGCCAAGTCACTATTCTACAAGCGAAGCATTATAAAGCATTGGGGTAGCGTAAGCTTGAACGGAAGAAGGTCAGCCATTACTTCACTACCATTAGCGCATCGTTGATGTTGCATGGCAAGATGGAGATAGAAATGAATTCGCAAAGCGTCTATTTGTATGTAAATTGTTGATGGATTAACGCTCGTTGGACTTCAATCTGTCGTCTAGTCGCAAGATGCCAGTTATTCTGTAAGAAAGAAGCTTTGATCATCGCGAAGGTCTGTGCTGTCAGGCTTACGATTATCTCACGAATTCCTTCACCCAGCTAGTATATCAAATACAACATAGTTTTAACAGGGGCAGATAGATCTGAAACGCGTGCAATTTTTGGCACATAGTCTTTACATCGATCTAGATGTCTTCTAGTATCCTATTTGGAATATGTACCCGAGTTAGAAAGGATAGGGTAGACGACTCACCCGCAGGCTACCTCGAGGGCAGTATTCCATGACGACGCCAACGTTTAGATCCTCAGCGGTTAACCCAATTAAGCGGACGAGGTTTTCGTGCGTCAAGTCGTGCATTTGTTTTAGTTCCAGCAGAAAGGATCGGGTGGTCGTGAACTTGCAGATACGTAGTTGACGAACCGCTACCTGCCCAAGCCAATGGTAATAACAACATCAAAACACGGAAGTATAGTAAAATTACCACAACACACATAAAAAGCTGATGCGTCCTAGAAATTAAAGCAATGATTAGGTACGTTCCCTTAAATCCGAAAGTAATTAGCTAAATGAATCATTTGAGCAATACAACCACTGAAATTATTACCATCTAATTGTCTACAATTATCTACAATAGCTAACACTGAATGATATGATAGGCTCTAAACTATGTTTGTGCAGCCCCTTAACTGACCTTCATGCCCTTGTATATTCCAATATGTACATTTCCGAATCTTCCAGGAACACCATTTTCAACAGGAAACCCGGTTCCGAAACGCTGGAAATAACACAGAAATAATTTTTGATTTTTCAGACTGAAGCGACAATGATGAATCATTTCAAGGCATTGTCAACCTCATTCGAGAGCTATAAAATGATTTAAAAATTAAGTAACCCGTATGTGATACAATATACACACCGTAATACGCAAGTAATATGTGTCATTAAATTTTAAGGCTTTTCAAAAGTGTCTAAAGCATGTCTTCAAAAGATGATTGTTGTCTAACAGACAACATATAATAATGTAGAGACGTAACAGACTTGCCCTGCGTACGAGGACGTGGAATTCTGTTGTCAAATCTCTCAAGATAATACTGCCCTATTAAAAATATGACGACCATTGTCGAACAGCTTACCGGTGAAGTTTTCGACTCGGTGGCACCATTATTTTGGCCATCACCGTTGATCGAAAGCGATGTCGCAGACTTACGCTGTTGTTTATCCGGATAGCTGATTTCGTCCCATTTGATATGCCACCAAAGGTTGGCTAACTGGGTTTCGAGTTTCATTTTCCTGCAGAAACGCGACCACAACAAAAAAAAAACCCACAAATTATAGTCCGGTTCCGCGGTGGCAGAAGTGCTCGACTTTTTTCTTACATTTTAAATTTTTAAGACAAACAGAAATGCAGCTAATATCACAGAGTCAACATCAACATAAAAGAAATGTTATCAATATCATTCGAATGAAAATATCTGATGTACGGATTAGTGGGCCAACGCTGACGGTCTCTTTGAGAGCATCTGGTTTCCCAGGTATTTTTGCACATATTTTTATGTAAAATTTCAAACATTACTTTGTTGCAGGCGCCCTTAGTTGTAGTTAATTATACCTCAATCGAGCAACAGGCACTACTTGTAACCAAGTCGGTTGTTACTCGTTTCTATGAGTTTCTTATTGAATACTTCCTGCCGCAGCTTAGCATTGGAGGTTTGGCGTTGGCAACATAGGTCATTAGTAGGATTGAAAATGAGCCATTTTTTACGGATACTAAAATACGCTTCACTGACGAAGGTGAAATTATTATTATTATTATTATTATTATTAATTATCCAAAGGAAACGCTTGCCTGTAAAATATGAGTGCGATGACTGCCATTCCAAGGAAGCTGGCTAAAGTCACCACCGTGATGACAATGAGAAGAATTGGCGATTCTGAAATACCGGTTATAAGTATACTCAATTACTTATAATGAATAATTATTTTACTAAAATATATACGCTTTACGACAACAAAAAATTACTAGGATTATCGCGTAGGCCAAAGCGGATTATGGTATGCCAGTCTGTATACGAAGGAAATTTCATCTCAACTATGTTTAAATAAGACTGTTCTATTACGACACTTATTTTTAGTTTCCAGGTGCGCTGAGATTTTGAAATCGTAATACATTTTGCTCGGATACGACCAGCTAAGCCTTTAGAAGGCGAGTGATCGACGCACAAATGCTCTTCTGGCCTAGAAAATTGTGCGCCTTAGGTTCAAGATCTGTAAGCTTAAGGGACGATTTAAAGACGGTCCCGTCGCTTTCGTTTTGGAAAATGTGATGTGGATGATTTTCCTCGTACTGCTTGAGCAAATAACAAAAAAAAATAGATGAAATCCCATGCCGCCAAGGAATTAAACGCTCACCACCAAACAAGTCATCTATTTGAAGCAAAAAATACTCGACGTTTCGATAGCACTTGAATTGACGTAAAGTAATTAACTCGATCGTGTTTCCATTGGCGAGCTTCCGCAACAAACATAACAAAATCAAGCTATATTTCTAAAACAGTATCACAAATGATTGAAGGTGGGCCACGTACGATAATAGCTTGTAAATCAAAATAATGTGCCTCACAAAGCCTGGCCTAACACCAGTTAGCGGAACGCTACGTGTTTGGTAGGATTGGGAAGAAAACGTGCGCTACGAATTGCTGCGGCCTGGCAAAATGGTTAGCTCGGACCTCTACCGTGAACGGTTAACCACAAGAGTAGAATAATCTCTTTAGTTACTAATTAAAAACTGTTTAATTAATAATGAAAAACGTCGATCGAAGCCACTGGACACAAAACGCATTGTCTTCCATCATGACAACGTCCGAGCACATACGTTTTTTGGAAACCCCACAAAAATAAATACAATGCGGGCAGGACGTTTTCATATACCCGCCGTATATTCCGGATAGTGCACCATTATACTACCATTTGTTCGTAGACAGTCCTTTATCGAATACACAGCGTAACACCTGTAGCAAGCTTCATGAGTATTGCAACTGCAAGCTAAATACATTAGAGATAAGACGATGAGAAGGTAAGGAGCAACGATCAAATTCAATATATGAAGTTGTCCCTGTGTAGACGACTAGCTATTCTCAGACGAAAACAAGCTTTTGTACGTGTTTGAAACGAGATTTGTAGATGTCGGCTCCCGGATCTGCTTATATTTTGCGCAAGATGTTTTCCACCTATATTCTAATGCGACTGGCAGAAAAAATCTGTCAGGATCCCAATTCGGTATCTATTATAAAACTTTGTGTTGTATTGGAAGACTGTACGGTTACTAGATAGCGTCGCTTTCTGTCACGTGGTGAGGCAGCTATCTTCTATTGTAATCAATTCTATTCAAAATAATCGATAAGTATATTGAACTTTTTTTTTTTTCTTACGTATAAGAAATGAATCTCAGTTGGTCTAGTGATAGTGGAAAAGTTTTAGTACTCCCACAAGGATGTCTGGTTTCGTGCATGCCAGCCAGCTCCTGTATTCCCCTATGTCAATAGATAGCTTTCCACAATCGGATAGCATCCGCTAGTTGTGCCCTCCCTGAAGCTGGTAGTTCGATTTGTTGTCGGAAATACACTGGCCGAATGTTTGCTCGTCCAGTAGTTCACGAATTACAGGATTTAGGACCGGATTGTTGTGACGCAAAATCGTTTACTTGGCCCACGAACCCGAATGACCCGAAAATACTATGAAAATATACTATGAAATACCTAACTGCAACAACCGCCAAAAAAGGATTAAGCCGCAAGATGCACGGCTCTATTGATTCCGAAAACTGTTATGTTTACATATTTAAAATGTAAGCAATCATTGCTTACATCACTAGGAGTGTGATCCTTACTGGATCGGCGACGACAACAAGTAAGTGCATTGTGTTGGGTTGGGTTGGGTAAATTTGAATGGTATCCGCTAACCGGTGACGCCATTCGAGTAATAATAAGTTTTGATTTAAGCGAAATGTGTCCCATATACTAGTTAGTGTAAGCTATATGAATGATTAAAATCGTATGTATTTTACCTTTTCTAAATCATACATAGATCTGTATTAAGATACGTAACAGATATAATAAGGCAAATTATTAGTGCTACTGGTCCTGTTTTTTTTTTTTCGTACCTTTGTGTACCTTTCGCTACAGCTTTTAGGCTTCTTGTATCAATCTGCCCATATTTAGCTCTTTTATATGCGTGTCACTCGAAACATTATTGCTCCTTACGTTTATTGCTGAACCCTTAAGCATGAACTGACAACGCAAGGGACAAGAAACAGTGTCGGGACACCTATCGCACCTACCTATCTCACGGCAGTGGGGTGCTTCGCCAAGAAATCCGCATATGGGAACATCGCGCGGCGATGAACCTGTCAACCACAAGAACGACTTATTCGGCAGCATTGTTACCGTCTTGTTTAGCGAACTATACATAGCCACGATCTGCAGCCGGTCACCGTCCGGATCGCCGCCATCATCGACAACAAGAATACAAACGGTGCACAGACGTTATATTCCGAGAAATGTAACCATACGCATGCGGCAACGGCAGGAATGACTATTAACTTAGAAGCCTTGTGACCTATTAGGAAAAACAAAGGTAAACTTAAAGCGAATAGCTGGCGAATAGGCCAATAAATACAATGCACACATACATAAAGGGACGGCATAAAGAATATAGTTTTCAACTTTACAATCGTTCAATAATTTTTTCTTATTTTTCTAAAAGGCAACTTATATTGTCTTACATCCATTTGCCCAGTTGAGTTGAAATCATGAATGGCGTATTCGGCCATACGATCGCCGTTTTCGTTGAACTGCAACATGCCCGTTAATCCTGAAATGTCCATGAAAACGTTAGCTCTAGTAAAATGGAAATATTCCTCGGATCGACAAAGAGACATAGGTATATTTTTCCGAGTCGCCTGAGGACGCTTGGCATGATTTCTCCTTCAGCAAACATCTGAATGGAGCAATTAACATTACAAACCGCGTAACTTACTCCACGAACTGCATACTGCTGAACGTGCACTACCTGCTGACGCAACAGCTAAGTTACTGCTCGTCGATATTATACGATCGAAAATTTAAGGACTATCAGCATCAAATAAGATAACAACTGGTTAATCTGAGACTCTGATACTTATGTAGGCCTCTTGAGATGATCAGATGCCTTTTAGAAACTAACGGTAAGTAAATCTTCCTGACATAAAAACTAATCAACCATTTTGTGTTGACTTGAGGATTTCGTTGATGAGATGCTTCCCATCAAGCGGGTTTTTGCCTTCACTTAACGTTTTATTTACAGCCCACGCATATAGCTGCACGCAGTCATAGAACCCGCCCAAGAGCTCGTTAATCTGGAAACGCAGAAATCGTATACGACAGTAGCGTTAAACAAATTAGGGGAAAAATAATTGTTATTTGTGAGAGGGAACGATCTGCTACCCAATTAGCGGCTGTACACATAGGCGTCGATCTGACCAGCTCCAATACAACACCAACAGGTATCACTACATACAAAAGCTAAACGATTCTTCTGTTACCGGCTCACATTAGGTAGAGATACGTGTTGTATATTCCTAAAAAGCAAATAGTATACGCGCAATCAATTACCAGGCGAACTATTAATTATATATGTGTAATAATTAATGCGTATACAATATATGAGCCTGGTAGTCAAGATTTCGTAATTAGTAGAGCGTAATACGACGGTGGCTGTAGATCGAAAAGCATTTAGCTGAATAGATACACGCATCGGACATGCTGGATTCAATCACCCTACTCTCGCGTCTGAAATGACACACGTGTCGAAGATACACAAGGTTTCTATCTATGTCCACTGTCCATCGCGCGATGTAGCCAAACAGTAGCAATTTTTTTGTCTTTGTTCAAAACGCGTTCACAAATACCATCACGATTCCAACATTACGTTCATCAGTTAGAATATCTTCGAACAAAAGCGCACCCTTCGATTTGGGCTATAGCAATGATATAAACACATGAGAAGGTTAGCAGTGGAACTATAGCTTGTAAAGTAGAAGCTTTCGTAATGTGAAATTTACCCTTCACTTAAAACGCTCACAAATTTTCAAAATTTGTCGCGTATTTGTCGAGGGTCTGTCTCCGCCTACAATCCCATTTGGGGCATTTACTCGTTAGTTATATATATATATCATGATGTATCTAAGATTGATTAGTACACCGTTACTAATTGAACAATACACCGTTGTGCATGATTTTTATCAAGTAATGCATATATGATAAATTTGATTTTTAAAAAAACGCAGCGTTTACGTACCATTATCATCATATAGTAGCATATCCTAATAAAAAATCTTCCAAAAAAGCGAATCTGATAAAAAGAACTACCTGCAAAATGTAGCCGCACCATATGTATATCTATCGGCCCCGGGCTGTATGAGCCCATCTGAGAGACTGGTTCAATATGCCATTAAAAAGAACTGTTTCAACAAGATCATAGCAGCGACTCCGCGTGTCATCGAGGCCGCTTGTATTGTCCGATGAAAATAACGAACGTCTTCGGATTAAGCGGGTTACTGAAGCCACAAAATATGTAACACCGAAATTCGAATACATCCGAAGTTGATGTTGTTCATCGACAAAGGTCGTTTCGTTGGCACTTCACTGAGCGATGTGATCATAGGAGTAACTAGGAAAAATCTATCTGCGGTTGGGTCACAACGCCTGCCTTTGTTCTACCTTACGAAAACTAACTAGCTGTTTTCGATCCTATGGAGACGTCGCATCTTCACTGAAACTAACTTAAATCTGAAACATTTTCTCTGTATTTAGTTCTCCAGATAACTAATAATTCTTCTTTCTTCTAATCTTTGCTCTGTTAGTCGTCATAAACCGCGCGCAACTGGCTAAAAAAAAAAAAAAAAAAAAAAAAAAAAAAAAAAAAAAGTAATAATTGATGCCTATAGAAAGGCGGCGTCCAGTGGTACTGCGCATCGCAGGAATTGTTGTTGGTGACTTAAAACTACAATAACAACCGGTAACTAATTCATGACGATGTTTTCAAATCGAATAAGGCTTAATCATTTTGCACCGTCTCTATTTTATTATAACATAACATGTCACAAATTGCTTGCAGAAACAATTACAAGCTTGTCCGTATCATAGAATACAATAAGATCTTGACAATGCACAAATTATATAGGGGTAAATATGCTTTGTTCAGTAGGCAAAAAGTACTAGCGAAGCCGAATAAAAAAAAATTTTAACTCATACGTCGTGCCTAATTTCTCTTGTTTCATTCAGTCTTTTCGTCTTTTTACTAGCTTTCACTTGGCTTCATGCTGCCGAATCTATGGCTCCTATTAATCTTGCCTCCGTAGCCTTCCTCACGCCTTGGTCTTCCCTCTACTACGTCACCGACTCCTTAAACTGACTGCGAACACCAACAATGTTTTTCATGAAAATAAACCAGCGATCAGGCGATTGAAACAGGTACGCCCGCCAGCCTCTACATCGCCACATCGACGCCAGTCGTCTGGCAAACGTGTAAGGAAAGGCTCCATTTTCTCGACGTCAGCTTGTCTAGGCCCATAAAAGAACCTGGGCAACAAGAATTCAAACAACCCTCAAATAACAATGTTTATTGCTTTCTCGTCGGCAGTGTATGTAGAATGTCCATCTGTTCACCACCGACGTCATTAGCAACCGAACTCCAAATAGTTACGAAACATGTCGATTGAAGTCTCACACGGATCGAGTTGCGCCAGGCGAACTTCGACATGTGGGTGTGACGCAAAAAATTGATAGCCTGGGGGTACACATTAGGCGGAGGTTTTGGGGGAATCTGGAAATAGCTCTTAGCATTAGATGCCGACAGTGAAAAAGACGAATGTCCTGGACAATATCGGCGAGATTATATTACACCGGGTGGGACTCAAGGCTGGCCTAAAATGATATTGAAGTTTGCACTGTCGGAGGCGCTATCAAAGAGGTTCAGCAATGGAGAACAGTGAGAAGGTATTAGGCATAAAGGTAGGAAGGCAGTAAAGTTAGAAATGAACCCGTATCCATGAATTAGGTCTGGCCTTTACACGTAGTGAAATGACGCCGTCAAAGCAAACGCCGACCTCGCCGTCATGCGGTACAGCTGGCTTTCATTTTGGGGGAAAGAGGCTCAGTTTCTTGGAGTACAGCCGGTACAACACACCGTTGCCGCTGGCAACAACGGCAGAGCCACGACAAGTAGAATGTAAACAAAAAAACAGGCGGAACGCACACCTGCGGACAACCAGCATCCGAATACTAGAAGAGGAGTATCTGTAAAACGAAATGCACGAAGACGACTGCCGTGGATGCACAAGATCGATGAAATTCCGCTGATCGGTGGCGAGATCGAGTTTGATCTTGTTCAGACCAAACTTTTCTGCATCTACAGCTGCCCCGCCTTCATTTGGAGAAGATGCCCCCCAACCTTCTGATATCGAAGATTTCATATTATTTCGCGATCACGAACGACTTGCCGAAAACTGTTCTCGTGCTCACGGCGATCCTGAACCAGCTAATAGGTCAGTCGTTCATTTCGCCGTCTTCTATTTTGCACGTTCCGGTTCATTTTCTTGCTGCGTCTCGTGCTGTTGCTGCTGCGTATCGTCATGACGTGCGCACGTCGGTAGCACCATCATTGCGCCTGTAGGGCAATTATAAGTAGCACAGATAGTTTGCCCATGTCCCAGGGCCAGTCAGAGAAAAGATACAGGTTCGACGAGAAGGCACCAAGAGTCTTAAAGCCCCATCCTGCTGTTCCAAGTCTCGAAGCTAAAAGCACATACGCCTATATCTCGATCAAAGTAGAACAACCCAAACAGGCACCAGCTAGCCGCTGCGTGTAACGCGGCAAGCAAAAAGCTTAGAAGTGGCGCGCGAGGAGTGAAGTGAAGTGAAGAAGACCACCCACGTCATTAGGGCTATCTAATGGAGGTGGTACAACTCAACGTGTATTTTCTACTCTAATGACAACGCGGCAGTTCACTGATGCAAAAACCGTATCCCGATAACTAGGTTATGGAAAAAAATTGTATCATTGTATAGTACCTCTTTAAAGTAATTCGAAGTTTTTGAAAAAAGTTGCTTAAATAATGCTAGAACATAACAAACTTGTGTACGAAAACCGGGCTTCGTTTATAACAGTCGATAATAATAACATTCTATGTAGCACATTGTTGTAGCAAGGAAAATATCCTAATTAGCAATTGTTGGTAAAAATAGCACATATTAATTCTACTTACAATAGATTTGTCGATCATTGGCCCGTTGACTTGTTCAGCCTTACTTTTCAGCACAACCTTTTCGACAAACTTTTTATACTCCCGGCTTGGCCGCATAATGAGCGAGATAACCATAAGCTGTTCGTACATCTTACGGGCGTCCTTCAAAGGGTTAACGACGAATGGGTCGTATGCAAAGAGAAGGATAAAAAAAAAATGAGTACAATGATATATTAGTTAATTTTGGAAATGGCTTCAGCTCTCTTGTCAATCGCTACGGATCCGACGCAGTGGTCAAGCATCGGCAAGACACTCAGTGCTAAGGTAGTTACATTTTTGCTAGCCATATAAACGAACTAGATTTAAAAAAAAATATCGAAAATGCCTAAATACTAACCTTCTAAATATTTCAATGGAAATTTCGGATATATACAATGAAAAAAAAAAATATCGGAAGCAAACTCAATATCAAATATTTATGTATTTCAAGCTCAATTTTAATAAAAAGCCATGTATTCTTATAGTTCACGATCTGGCCATGATCCATGTCAAAAACAATTATGTTATAATAAGTACCGCGAGGCCTTTCTAACGTTTTTCAAAGAACAAACGTTTTACACATTTTTCAACCTGCACATTGTACAAGACATAAATCGTCTTTTTTAGAAAAGCCGATGGCTTCAAAACCGATTGATAGTTTAAATTTAGCAGACACCATTATTATCATGTCTGTTTGGGTAGTAAATAATGACCAAGAATGCAACCGAAATAAAAAACAACTTATGAAACGGATATTTATTTTGAATAAAGTAGCTAAACATGAATGTAATGTCAGAAAAACTGTCGACTGCACTGACAGTTCTACAGCGAGCAAACTTTCACGAAGTTATGGTTAAAAAATAAATTAAAGGTTCAAGTATAATTAATAATATGCAATATCGACTCAAATAAATACATATGAGGACATTTATATTAGAAATAAAAAATCTATTATCTTTACTTAAAAAAAAAAAGATTAAAGCATTGATGAGATCTGGAAAGCGATAGCAGCGAGAACATATCTAATCGACGGACGTGCAGATAATTTACGCTACCCCACTTTGCCCCCTAAATTATCTCAATTAGTCTGGAAAAAAAATATGTATAGATAACTACTTTCAGAATATAAAAAATATTTTAAAAACATCTCGATTGCTTGAATGTTTGCACAGTTTCCATTTTAAACAAACACCAAACTATTGACCGTTTTTCTAGCCAGACGTTTTCACAATCATATATTTCAGATTTAAAATATTGCGCCTTGGAAATCTGTCATTTGCTATGATTTACAATTCGGTTGCCATATCGACACAGATATCGCTCGGGCTCGTGTGCAATTACTGCTATTTACGGTCGAGAGACGCTGGTAGAAGAAACGACCGAACGATAGTTCTGTCGTTTGCGTTCTGCAAATTTCAATGTGAAATATTCCCTCATAGTAATTGATCAGTTATGGAAAATCTAATAAAATTATTACAAAAGCTGAGCCAAATCGATACGTCAGTAGCTGTCATATTGCCACGAGCCAAACATGTACCACCAAACAGTTATCGAATGCTTGAGGAAAGCTCTTTACGAAAAAAAAAATCTCGACGCATCGGGTCTTGACCGAAAAGAGATCACCTGATCATACCGTTGTCTCCGAGACCCTGCAGAAACGCAATAAAATCGGGCCATCTCGAAAGTGATTATCCGAGGACGATGAAAAGCGGACCACAAACGCACAGTCCTCGGCCAAACTTAGATTGAGGCCAAAAAAGATGATGATCTATTTGTTTAAGTCTAAAGTAATCATGATAAGCTGCTGTCGTTAGGCAAAATCATTGATTCAGACCTACGCCGTCAACAACCAATAAAAATACGCTAAATTATTAAACAAAATCGACTGGTGCTAGTGAATGGAAAAGGCGTTGTCTTCCATCATACAAATTGCCCTACCACGTATGCTTCGATCTATTCGACATTCGAAAAACTGAGAGAAGCCCAGATCTTCTACCATCAGACTATGATTTGTTTTGATCTCTGCAGATGTAAATTTAGTTTCAACGCTAAAAATGATTTGTCACAAATTTTCGCCCAGGAACCACAGGAGTTTTACAATGATGGGACTACCAGAAAAATGGCAAAATGTCAACAATCGAAACAGCGCATATTTAATTGAAAAATATTGTTTGCTTTCAACGATTCATACTTTTTTGACAACCCCATATGTATATGTATGTATATATATATATATATATATATATATATATATATATATATATGTATATAATGATTACCTCATTACGTTTATCTCCTGCAACGTTCCACGTGTACTCTCCAAAATAGCGAACATTCGTGTATGGTTTGGCAGCTATGAAAGCATACTCGCCATTACCCATGCCAAGGTCGTATGCACACAACATTATTTGCCGAAGGACAATGCCATCTACTCCTAAAAGGAAGACTATAAAAGTCGAAAAACAAGAAAGAAGGTACAAAATTAATCCCCCCCCCCCAATATTCATTTATATATACATCGTTATAATATTATACATCATTGTGCGTAGACAGATTAGCCAGGGAACGTCATGATAGAAGAGAGCGCACACGAATACTAATTACTAATTATCAAAGCAACTTGCGTCAATATAGTTAGCAATAAAAATACATTTTATTTGACGTAAAGACGCCGGTATATGAACACGGTGTACAATCTCTTTCCAAAGATAAAATGCTGTTTCTTTCAGCTTACGTATATGCTTGCCTTCTGCAGCTGGCAGATCGAAGGTTGGCTGTTTCAGGGGCAACGATACATCTCGATCCAGTGATTAACGCTACTACAGAGAAATCTGACAACTGGAAAGTTTTAACTACGTAAAGTGCATTCCTATTTCGTATTGGCGTGCCATCATTATATTGTAGAGATTCATGAACTCAACCTTTTGACTTTTACAAGCAAATCTCCTCATCTAACGATTCATGTTATATATGCCTGGTTTGGCCGGGGCCGTATCAAACCGTCCATCCGCCTCTCGTCCAGTCAACCTTCTCACCTAGCTTTTACTCTTCTATAAAAAGATATATATGTTACAATAATTTTATAGCTAATGCCTGCTTGCGCCATCCCGGAACCGAATAGTCCCGAATCTTTTCCTGAGTTGGGCATCGCTTGGTCTTACACGGTTGGATTGTTCGCAGGCAAAACGCGGGGTCGGCCCTGAAGTGGGAGCAATGCCCTATTGCATGAGACCATAAGACTCAGTAGCTGCATGATGCTACCATCATCCGCAGCAGAAGCAACAACAGCATTACCGTCAACGACAACAGGTGGGAGTTTTGCAGAGGTAGAAAATCCGGACACTTGCTCTGATTTTCGTTTACAACGGATGTTGGCGATATCGGGGTCGGTTCACCGGTCCGGCTATGCAGCATCGAGAGTTTGCCTGTCGGCTAGCCTAGGCCTCGACGTAAGCCTATCTATTATACATAAAGAGGAAGCGCGTGTTCAAAAAGGACATCAGCCACTGCATCTGGTAACGAAGCGTTCTCCCACGAAACAAGCAATGCTAGGGTCCCTGTTCGCCTGAGTCCCTCACCAAAGACATTGCTTAACATGAACAACTCGAGATTGTTGACGCAGGTCTGTCGATAAGGATGTGTACCGGAAGTTCCGTGTCGGTCGACCTTTCTTGCCCACTCGTTAAGGGGCCATTATAATGACACACCTATCAAATATAATCGAGTTGTAATAGATAATACCTACGGAAGTGTTTGCAAAATCGTTATAGCGCATTGCACGTACAATGGATGCGCATTTGGTTCGTTCTATGACCTCTTTCAATCTGTTAGTAGCGTATACCGCGACCCGGTCATTTTCGGGAGTTCCTTTGGCCAATACTCACCTAGCAAAACTCAATAATGTGCATACACTTTGGTAGAACTGGAACATTTCCATATGCTTACCTTTCTTAAGTTGTCTATTTAAGATAATTTGTTTTAGTATCTGCTGAAAGCAACTTATCATCGAAGCTTTTCATATCTCTTTTTTTTTTTTTTTTTTTTTTCACAACAATATGCAACACAAAACATCACGCGTTAAAATGATAAGTTGATACAATATTGCCACAATATATATATATATATATATATAACATAGCTAATGTATTACTAATGAAGCTCTCTATGTTAACAAAAAGGCAAGTTATTATATCACATCTAGAGCTAGTTTCTATCTAAGTGGAAAAAAAAAAAAATAGTTTTTCCTATTCGGCCACAAAAGGTGCCGATTAATGCAATACCTATATTTAGCTCAGACCAATTTCATAAATTGAGCCTAGGCCAGGCCACGTCTGTTGATCCAATAAGGTCTAATTTTGTTATATTATTAATAACCCGTGGTTTGATTGTTGAAATGAGTCCAAAGCCTAGTTTTGCTAATCGCGACACCGTCTCTACTTTCTCTACTAATACATAGCCACTACTTACCCATCTATTATAATATTGTGTATCAATATATTTTGTAATACGTTCGCTTACTTCTTCCATGTGCGCGTCCCTCAAGCAGTAGATTAGTGTAGTTGGGCTGTTTCTTCGATTCGAATTCACGGTTAAATCGGGTAAGCTCGTACCCCTCCCGCTGAAAGTTTCGCATAATAGGTGATAACGCTTTGTGTAGTTGTCGAAAAAACGTTTGTGAGGAATCGCTCAGAATGACCACGTGGTGCCAGTCAAAAAGCTTGAGGACCTGTAGAAACAAATATATACGTCACGCACGACAAATATACGTGAATGGAATAGGGATTCCTTGTTTGGCAAGTATTTGTTACCGTTTAACGACGCCGGTACCTCTACGCTGCTAAACCTATTAAAATCGGAATTTAATTTCTGTCATTTCTGAATGTGTTTATTGTTAAGCTCTAAACGGTTAAAAATAGTATTAATAATTTTTGGCTAGCCATCAAAACCAAATAGATTGCAGTTAGTATTGCAGTCATTAAGCAAAATGCCATAAACGCTCTATCAACCTGCCTTTGCTGGTTTTGTAGAAACAAGCGGTTTGAATTTTTTTAAATACTTATAGAATATATGGGACATGCTTTGTCAGCCTTCTTATTATTGTTGCGTTCACACTTATAATCAGTTATGTAATTGTACCCGCTCCGCCTGGATCCTCTTTCCGTGTACGTCGATGTGTGTCCTTCACTCTGCTCTATTGTTTCTCCATTTATATTATTGTCCGTCTGTTAATTGCGATACGACAGTCTGATCAGCTAGAATCTACACTATTCGGTCTGAGCGGAATCTCGCTGACCTCTTTTGCGGTTACTTCTTCGCATTACAGCAGTAGCAGCCATCTGAACGCTCCAAGGCAAAAGGGTTCACAGCCGACAGTAACCAAAACTTACTACTTGTGTTCAGTCGCGTTGTTTTCGTGTTAGAGGTTTCGTGAGAAGCTCACTTTTGGCACGTTTAGAGCACGTTTGGTCGGAGATTTGGCCTGTTTCGCTTTGCCTTTTCATATTTGCTGCCTGACAGCATAACTGACGTAGCGGTCGTCCTCTTTCTTCTCTCTTTTCGAACCTCATCCACCATATCATTAACAAAGAGTCAACCATAGCCACTATAGAACAGGGCTCTCCTTTCAGCCTTAACGCCTACGGATGCCAGCCAGTCGATGGTATGCTAGTGTGAAAGCTTAATAAGGTAAAACGCATGACTAACGCAGAGGAAAGGCAGAGTTCCGTTAAAGAGTCAGTAGAATTGTTAACAACGGTTCCAGCAGCAGCGCTAGCCAATGAGAAGTAGAGCCGCGAAGTAATCAAGCACAGTTCATAGATAACAATTTATCTAGTCAACATAGCGACCCCATGAAATTTACATACGGATAAGTTAGTTACTCTTCGAGGCAGGGTGACGAAAGACTTGTTGATGAATCAGAGAAAGGAGGAATTTGCAAATGAAGCCGGGACTTCGTCATTTGCTGCTCGATATTATACTTAGTCAACTAGCGGCAAAAAAAAGTTTGGCTTTTGGGTTTACAGGAACCAAGCACGATTAACCATATGATATTGAGCATTCACTGGGGGCTAATCTAGAATTGGCTGTACAAAGAAAGATCACTATCCAAAAGGATTAGAGCATGGGGCTAGCTAAATATCGAATCGATGGCACCGACGACCGCGTGTATCCGTATCGTCATCTGACGAATATCATGGCTGTAGCATAACGTGCAATTAATGCATGATAAGGTAGTGACAAGAAATACATTGTCATTTGCGAAGCTCTTATCGTCGGTATGATCGGCTTTATGCGTTCGTGCTGTAAAGTATAAATACCGATATGTTGTATAGTTTATCGAATTTCCGTATCTCTATGCTACGGAGATTCGATAGTGATTAAGCAAGAGGACATTATTTTATCGAAGACACGTGTCGATTTGCAGACAGTCTACAAGCTATAAAACACGACCTGCCAGCCTCGGGCTACGAAGATAGTAGAATGTAGCAAATGTAGTCCACTTGCAATAGAGTCTGAGCCTATTTTCCTGCAGAAACTAATAGGGACACTCTGTACATTCAATACGGTCGACCGCGTCACGGATCTGAGCAATACTAAAACGAGTTTCCTTCCAGCCGAGTCGCGTATGTCATATAGTATATGTTTATTCTCGCAAACTTTCTGGACTCCACAGTCGTCGTTTCAATACGAGCAGTTTTAATACCGCGGGTCGGTTCGGTTCGAAGCTAGTGCCATCCTCTCGAAAAATTCAACCAGGGTATAGCTACTTATAGAGCTCATTAATTAAGCTCGTCCCTAAACCAGGCTCACCCGCTCTGCTTGAACAGTGTAGCAGGCCTCGGATTGTTCATCGATGTATTAATCATCATGATATTAGTGATCACGCATGCACGTTCTTCCTTTCAAAACGCGATACGCACGTGAGATATAACAGCGTGAGTATCTCCAAAAAGCCCGTAACTTTATGTGTCAAATTTTGCGTCCGGTGTTACCCGTAAGGTGTTCCATCAGACGGCTAGCTCCTTACACCACAAGCTGTTCCGAGGCGGAAACGTTATGGACTAAGCTATCATGGACACACACGAAGCACCGAGGAAAAGGCCTGGGCCTAGACGGTTACAGGTTTACCTCCGCTTTCGATCGACATCTGTCGATTTATTCCCAAAGCCAGCCGAGCAGCCACCTGTTTTACGTCATCAGACGTTATACACTAAGTATCGGACGACTTTTGTCTACGGTACACCAACGGGCGTTCCATTTTTCGTCTATCAAACCTATTATGAGCACAGATATTCGCTTGTGTTCAGTCATAGCATAAGGAGAATGGGACTGAAGAAGAATCATGCTTTAAGTCGGCAGTAATCAAATAGTTTGGCACCATTAAAGATGCTTAGTGCATGTAGATAGATCGTGGACTCCTTGCGTGATGCGCCACGTTGACGCAGGTGTCTACATGATATCAGCTAGCTTCGTATACTTTCCACGACTAGGCGCAGTCCCGGGAGATGGAATGACGAAAAACAAGACGTGCTTCTATATCGATACACTTTCATATTTTGTTACGTTGTTTTCACTCAAGCTCTACGACAGCCTAGTTTATTGATGGACACCCTCAATGGTACCCTCAAGCGAAAACGACAGCTTCTCGACATTAGCACATGGGTAACTAAATCACAGAATGCGTTCATAACACCGTTCTTGAGAGCTTATACCCAAAGTTAACCAGGACATAGCCCGAAAATAGAAGCATTCCACAAGTTTCCTCCTCTTAACCTTTAACCTATCAATAATACCATCCGCATTTTACTGTAGGTAGTCAAGCCGTCTGGATACATTCCAAGACGTATTTAGCGCTGTCACGGCATATATCGACAACGCGCTTAATGGTAAATCCCTGCAACTCTTATTATTTCTCTCGCCCCAGCACCATTGAAATTCTAGCAGTTTAGCATACGAAGTTTGAATTTTGGCGGTTCATAAACTTATGTGTTCGTATATAGAGATATTGGATGGTGTTGACAGTAACTCATAGTAAAGGAACAATAACTAGAATCAAATCTAAGGAGCTCCGGTGATGTTCTAGGCATATCTCAAGTGGTAAAATTAGATAAAGCTGTTGATGCTTGTATAGCGAAATACTTTGCTTACCAAATCGCTCAATAAAACTATTTCCAGTTTTCGTTGCTTTGTTACAGAAGTGTCATGTTTTAGCCACGTATCAATAAAGCCTATCTTAAATAGACGTGCATATCATACATTTGCAATGTGTTTGAAACTTACGTGAGTGATTGCGTCCCCAAGAGTGTTTATCGTGAGTGCAAGTCTTAACAAGGTCGAATATACGGACCGATCCTCAAATTGGGCGCTCACACCCGCTGCTGTACAGACTGGAATATTCCAATACGATGCTAAACGACCAACTATATCGACAGCCGCTGAACAACCTACAGAGACCCTCCGAAAAAACCGAACCCAAATACAAATTTACATATCATCATCATCTATGGAGAAGAGCAAACTAACAATGGCAGTTTGTGCTGTAGGGTCCATCACATAGATCAACTCGAGCCCAAATGCTAATCCTAAGCTGAACTTAGCTGAGGCTCTTATCAAAGCCTATTTACCTATAAAAAGCTGTTCCTGGTCCTTTTTTTTTTTTAGCGAATTATCTCAACTCTGAAAACTAGGCACAGTTCAAGGCAACGTTTTTATTCTTGCTCGATTGTATGTGGTAAGTGTAAAATAATGACGACCTAATTTCTACAACCTTTTCTTGAACGGGTTAAAGGTTCACGCAGGTCGGGTTTCACCGCTAGTAAAAACAGTCGTCTCGCATTGTGCGACTCTGACCCGCTAAACCCTGGACTCTGAATGCTCGGGCTTTCATTCGGTACTCTAAGAATGAATGCTAGAGGCATCTCGACCCTGCCACATGTGGCAGAGCGACGGAACTGGAGTGTAAACTATATTGAAATCCGAGTCTGTGATAAACTTAGCATTCTTGGTACGTGTTTAAATAGTCCTATCCTTTACAACAACCAGTCAAATGTCATAGGACAAGCGCATGTTTAAACAGACACTAAACTCTCCTTACCATATCATATACTATATGAATACGATATATAGTAGAATAACGAAATCTCACCCGTTCGAACGTGAAGATCTTGCTTTCGTTATATGACGTTTTTTTTCAAAATTTTGACAATTATGCTACAGACCCTATTCGTCAATTATTGGACTTAGAACAATATACGAAAGAAATTATTTTCACAGTAGCCCCTTCCAGAAGGTAACCTGGTTCCTTCTATCGTACGACGACATAAATCATGAGCCAAACATGAATATTTCGTACGCGGTCTTGCCGACTTTCTACAGCGCACAGCGTGTTTTTTTTTAATGCGATTTTAAGCTAACTATATCGATAAGCAGAAACGACGTTCTGAATTAGCGTATCTACTAATCCCGATTTTCCTACTCAATACCGTAGCTTCACGATGTTTTCTAATAACTAAATGGATGTCATGACAGCAGCACCATTTGTGCCGCTATGTCCGGTTTAAAAGGGGTACACCGTTCCAACAGAAAAGTACTCAAACGTTTTGATATATTTTGCCTTGTGAGGTTTTTTTTTTGAGAGGACGTGACCTTCAAGCAGACTCAAACGACCAGTAAACGAGTCGTTAGTCCACGTGTAGATTTTAAAGAATAGAGTATAGGAACTTGAGCCAATTTGGCACCGCGTAAACGTTATTTCTCAATGTCAGTGTTACTATTAAAGTATGGTTTCTCTATTATCTCATATGCGTACTTAAATATGGTTCGTAGACATAACGAGGTCGTAATCACCTTACCAGTTGTACCTGTGTGGAAATGGGAGCAAAAGATTTCGGTCACTTGGCAGCGAGTCGCTGCTATAACGAAACATTGTGTGGCTGTCCTCGAGTAGTCTGCTACTTTAAATCGAGCCCGACCGGAATCGGCTGGCCAAATGATGCCGGTACGAGATGTGTTCAATATTGCTCTACAAATGTACGATTTACGTATGCAGCCTTATCAACTAGATCCCGACTGCTAGCGGTACGTAATTATTTCGAGTTCTATAATTGAAGAGTGAAGAATCGACTAATTGAAGTTTGACACGTCGTAAGTACACGTTTTCCAAAACAGGTTGCGAAGAAGATATGTAACTATATAAGAATAATTGTTTAAAATTACTCACTTTTATGGGGCCTTTTATTTTACGTAACGTGCCGTTTGATACGGACGATAACTGTATTATTTAGCCTTCTAGCGACAGAGGTGCCTCAGTGCTAAAGTAAGTGTTCAGAATGTGCGGTCCGAAAGCACAATTTTTCAATAAAAAAACTTGTCGATAAAATTTGTCAGCGTTGGTACCATAGCAGAGCAGGAACTAGAGGAAATCAGATAAAGGCAATATCGTGTATTGTTTAGTAAAAAGGCAGGAACTCCCTCCATCGAAACTTTTCCTCATATCTCCTTGACAGCTTCCTTCAGACGGCTTCTGATAATTATTATTGTTTGCTTTGGTCAAATAACAAAAGCGATCTATATGTTGTCACCTCCGTGCTAAAATGACAGCTTTCCAGCTTGGAACAGTTGCATTGCCTTTCTAAATGCTCCTCCAATACTAAATCAAAGTGTTGCCCACATCACTAATCTACCTTCAAATAATTATATAAGAAGCTATGCAATATAGGTAATTAGCAACAAAGAGTAATTATTGAGACAGACCGGGCAATTGGCCCATTCATAAAACATTTATACTTCCCGAAATTACATCGAGGATTTTTTGATCCTACATGCGGTGCGAATTCTTGCGACACTTCAACACATGCTGGTCCTGCTTTTCCCGTATTGTGCAAAAAAGAAACGAAAAATGAATGAAAGTAAAGGGGATCATTTGGATTAGCTCCTCTTCCAAAACAACGAAAAATTTTATATTCCGCGATGCGTACACACTTTACAATCGACAGACCTGCAGCTGGGCGTAGCATATCAAGGTAACACACTTCATTCGTCTCCGTCGACCAGCCAATCCTCTAGACTTCAATATGAACCGTTTCGTGAAGCGATCTTTTACAGTGTGCCCCCCAGGGCTCCCTCAATCGCTACGTTTATTGCCACTAGCGTTTCCCTCTCGGCTCGAAGAAGCTATCATTGGCAAAAAGGATACACACGAATGGTGGCAATATGTTCAATGTGTTTAAGCTCGAGAATCTCTGATCTTGTAGCAGAGTCACTAGGCTTTTTTGTCACCTAGAAACGACGAAAACACCCTCTCATAAGACTTCTTGGCACCAGCAAACTTTGTATGTGGACGCAGCGATCAGTGATTGATCCATGTACACGACTGCATCTAGCATGGATGTTATAAGCGTTCGGCTACTTACTACGGTTTGATAAATATAGTAGGTCTTTTTAACAGGTGTGCTACAGTAAGGAAACGGAACTCAATGTGTCTAATAATCCGAATGCTTACTCGGTGCATTGCTGATTAAATAAAAAAAAAATTCTATTAAGCTCTGGCTTCAGAATTCACCGATCGAGCGAGACTAATTACAGTAATTAGTCATTCGAAACTATTCTAATCGTTGTTTAGCATGCGGCAAGTTTGATGGTCCGGTCCTGAATAGGAGGAATTAGGACGTAGCAGTACGAGGACATGGAACAGGAAAGCTTGCAAGTGCCTTCGAAAACAGTTGACCTTTGTATTTCAGAGTACAAAAAATACGTTTTTTTCCTAACGATTGTAGTAACCCACCGTTATGTAAAAAAAACATAACTTTCGTTTTCCGATTGGGCAACCGGACGCGAAATCTCCTCTAACCTTCATTCGCAAGGCTCACTGTGCAACTTTAACTAGTTTCAAGTAGCGCAAACGTGTTTCTTCCGTGTGCCACTTCGCGTATATTCAGTGAGAGGTCTTCTCCCGTTATCGTTAATCGCCTATTGATTAGGGGTCGCTAATTCGCAAAAACGGCCTTGCTTGATAATATCGTAAGCACTCTTCAACATTCGATTGGGGATTTCCGTGATCGCTTGCTTTTGGGCCGATATCTGGCACAGCATAAGTGTACGACACTGATAGACACGCAAATCTATACGAGCTAACAAAGTTAGATAACGTAGCGCTAGACGAATCATTGACTTGCCCCACTTAAGTGGATATCAGCATTAGTAGGACAGATTGTGGATAAATACTTTGTGAAAGGAGCATGTCTTTCTGCACGAAATAAAGCTGGGCGTAAAAGTAATATGGTGGCTAAATAATTAAATTTTATCTCTTAGCACAACATTATACGAAACAGTTGCACGTAACAGATCAGTCATACGTTGCATGGGCATTTCGTGTTCGTTAATTTGAACATGTCTACTGATGCCGAGGCTATATTTAAATTTGTTATATCTGTATGTTTCCTCTGGCCATTATTAATTTATCTGGCGACTGACGAGCACGTAGATTTTTTGCGGTAATGAAGAGCCTGATAGTTCCGGGATTAATGTGGCATCGGCAGGGCTTGCGTTTACCGAAAACCTACCAAAGGTACATTGCCAAAGGACTATGAGCCAGAGCTAACGCGACCTCAAACGATCCCATGGACTGAAAAGTTTCTCGAAACGCGTTGGTATACAGCGATATGTGATGGTGCTTAATGGTTCAGATAATACGTCGACATGAAGTTGTATAACGTAATCTCGTCTGGCCACCATCTTGAATTGTTTCGATATTGTCAATGCTGCATGGAAAGCGTTATGCGATTGTACGCAGTCCTAATCGTATCCTCGATCACTGATCACTGAATAGCAATCAGCTGGGTACGAGAGGCGGAACGTGTATGGCCACTTTCAATGAACAGAAGCGCTATATTGTTTACATCTAGTCCATGACATTTGCTTGAACTTTAAAGTGTTTACCTATAAGTAAACGACATGATAAGAAATGTAACGGGAAGTTATCGATGTATGAAAGCAGTTCATTCATCTAACACATTGTTAACGACGGCGCATTTCGTATTAGACCATTTCTGTCACAATAGATAGATGGCTATATATTAAACATGTTATTACATTATATTTTAGGGGCATATTAGCTGTCGTAACTTCAGATCAACCATCACAACAGTAAATTACCGATGTAATATTCGACAAATAATAGTCTCATTAAACATGTAAACAAGTTCTCTATCTAAACATTCCAGCTATCATCCAACGAGTATTGAAAATGACGAGCCGTCAGGAAAGAGCCCGCGCACGACGAATCATATAAATTTAAATGAGGTAGGCAATACTAAAGCAACACTGAACTATAGTTATCGTATTTAAGCAGCTTACTGACCGCGGCAAAGCGCGATTTCTTATGGGGTCCACGAAGTGCATTCGATTATCAGTAAGATGCATTCATGGCCCAGATAACACCATGCCCACTTCGAAACTTGAGGAATAGCCTCGAACCATACGAAGCCGCAAGGTCAATGTGAGTGAATAGGGATGGCTTACTTCACTACAGCCATTTGCACTTGAACCATTATACTGAAGGGAGAACCAATCATTGAGGGCGAGAGCAAAAGGACAGCTCGAACTGGCCGGCATAATCGAAGCACTTAACAGCATCTTCGAAATACTAGCAGCCTCGAATATTCTGTATATACCGCCAACTCTGACCGGAGCATCTAAGTGTGGCAGCTTACATCCCGACAGAGACGAAGGGAAAAAGAGATCAAAAGACGGTCATCCTAAAAGTCTTCAGATCGACAATGGTTTTGCGGAAGGGAAGACTTTTGGGGGTCTTAGAGGGGGTAGTCAGGGCAGAACTCGATGCGATTTCTCTATATCAGCATCTAATTTTGCGGCTGTGCCCTGCTTAAGTATCGCCTCGACCAATAAAACAGCGACGATATAATCCCATGCGTCTGACGAAGCTAAAGAGAAATGTACCTTGGGTGCAGCCATGAAAACAACAGCAACAAGAAACGCCAATACAACAACAAGAACGCCATAATGGACAACACTAACAAAGACAGCCCTTCGGGCCTGGCGGCATTTGGGCTTTCGTAGGGAATGACAACTGCCGTCTTCACAGTTCATTTATTTGCCTTTGTGTTATCTACATTTTAACGCTTTCGACTATTTTTACTATACGAACATTCGGCTCCTACTAGAAAATCTAGCGGGGGTTGTCTTGCCGGATTTATCTAGAGTTTCTTCGACAGACGTATAAAATAGCAAAATAACTAACTGCCTGCTATGGTAATTATTTAGCAACGCAAAGGCAATTTGGACCAGCGATGGCCACTTTCATGGTTGTCATGACAAAGCGCTCAAAGGGATGCATGTTAGCCACCCAGACGCCGTTCCTAACTTATTTGAATTGAGACACTGAAAATGTCGAAGTCGCATGTCTTTCTTTGACCCGTTCGCTTTCAAATTAAATAAGACACGTACATGCAAAGAAAACAATTGCTTTAGGCACGACAGAATAGTTATGCTGACGTGCAGAGATCGTGCACAGATCAAAAAACTGTAATAATGACCACGCAGTCATAGTGAATTCGCGGAGCTAACATTGAAGCAATAGAAACCTAGCTAGTTTTACTGCCATCATGCGGCCAAGAAGTATCTCCTCTTCCATATAGTAACTTTCATTGTATAGACTAAAATTTGGTCTCATCGTTCTACGCCCAACAAGCAGTGGTAACAAGGTTTTTGGTTTAGTACGTTAAAATGAAGCCAACCATACGTCTAGATGCCCCAATTATAGATGGATATATTCTCTGCACAACCTGCCCCTTCACCGTTGTCGGACAGACGCTACGCCAAATACGTGCTACGTAAGATATGAATTAATAATACTGCACTTAAGCAATCTGATTACACAAGTTCTATCAGGAGCTTACTGTTCACTTACCTTCACGATCTTAAAAGCCCCGGAGCTACCCTCTTCTTAACAACAGGTGGGTACAGGGTCATCGGCAGTATTATTATTATTATAAATGTTTAGCTATCTCGTTGGATAATGGCAAACGGGTTGAACTTACTGGAAATTTCTGATGATCAGGGTTACGCCCAGTTTTCCGCTTCGTTACCCCTAAACAATCTTACGTAGCGTTAGGAAACCGCGAGTTCACTTGTCTAGTTGTTTTCCTGGTTGGTTCAGCTATGCTGAACCTTTCAAGCCTAAACAACTTTTAGCCTTCAATATATCGCAGGGTCAAAAAGTAGTAACGATTCCTCATTTTGTCACACGCGTCCTTGCTGTCTTACAACCAACGAGCCATTGCATATTAATCGTCTGAGCTTCAGAGAGAATAAATGTACTAAATAAGCTCAGATACAATATCTACCTGTGCATAAGTAGCTTAAAACTAAATAGCAAACAATTTTAACTTAGGTAATGTACCACGGTCTGTCTAATCGAGCGTCTCGCGTCCCGAGATGGTACGAAATCAATTAACCTTGATAGCCTGAAAATAGGGCTCGAGCCGAGCTGCTTTCTGAATAAGTGTGTACCACTTCACAAACGGGACGGTCGTCTTTCGTGAAGACGTCCACCGTCATAACAAAACTCCACCGAAATGGCAAAAGCGTAGACAAGGCTATTTAGTTGTGACCATATGAAAGAAACTATCTGAATTGTCCAAGACAAACCGAGAACGCAAACAGCGCCATCTGTCCTACTAATACAGATCGAGAAAAATTAAACAACACTGAGTCTGTATTGAAGAAACGTGTAAACTAAAGGGGTCATGGGGGGATTGCTAACGAGTCCAGCCGGTCAACTAAACGCCTATGTCTTGCACAATACCTTTTTTAAAAATAATGGCTTTTGATGCAGTTAATAGATAAAATATTATCACTATTATTATTATTATTAGATACATTATAAAAATATTGTTGAATTCTGCTTAATAATAATTTTTAGATACGCTCCTATACGTAAACGATGCGTCCAAAGCTAACTGCCGTCTCACTCTCTTGTAGCCAAATTGTCTTTGGCAAAAGGCAACTGTATTAACTTACTGTACTCAGAGCTATTTCTCTAGATAATCTCCAGGAGTATGAAATCTGGTTTCTGCGTTTGAGAGAATAAACTGTAAACCTTTCTTTCGGAGCTGGTCGAATCGGTCCAATTGAGTTTGCTAAGTTGCCATCGGCTTCGTCTCCTACCCCAGCTATATGCCCATGAGTGTATCGATGATCGTGTAGCGATCGTAAAACAACGAAACGTTTGTGTGGCATAACGTGCCAAAATAATGCAGAGGTGAGGGTTGACAAATAAGATTACCACTGATAATTTAGATCTACTCTTACTAATTATAATAATAATACACTCTATAGGGGGACGCTGACCATGACTGGCAGTGTTGGAAGACTAGGTCCACCACTGCCTGACAAATGAACCGATGCAAAATCAAGGGATTTTAGGTACGTATATACGGTGCATATGTGGCCTGTTAGGCTGATTCTGTCTGCTTGGGTGTGGCACCACGTAAAGGTCAGGACCTTCTACAATCAGTAGCGTGCGATCAAATAGTAATACTTAAGCTTTATAAAACTTCCAAGCCTATTCACATTTATAGGCGAATTAATATAATCCTATCATTTTTCGTATCCTCCGCACGTTTTCTCTAGCTAGTTTCTCTATTGTAACTGATGCTGAGAAAGATCAATGGTGTCAAACACTGCATTAAATATAGATCGCATTTGATTTCAGCAAATCCTTAAACTTTGTATTGTACATCACGAAATTCTAACCGCAAATGAACGTTTTTGTTTTTCCATGTAACTAGTTACGCAGAAAACGCGCTTACAAGAAAAGCCTCCCATGGTGGCATATTATTGTTCAGAGGTACGGGTGCCGAGTAATGCTCTTTAATCCATCGCACGACCATGCCATTAGATAGCGATTTGTCCGTAGTTTTGGCAAACATTGTTGCCAACAAACTATAGAAGCGACTAAGAGCAGAAATATACAATGTTCGCTGTGTTACGACCTACTTTTGCTCTTTAAGCACATCACCATTCTGCGAAAATCTTCTTCTGTTCTTTTGCCAGCTGTTCGAACAAACTCTATCTTCCTTACATGTTTTTTCTACTATTATCTAGTCCCTTGTTCAATTGCGTTCACTGAGTAATTGTTTTCACATGAACGACCCTATCTTGCTGGCTGAGCTGTTTGCAATTATTCAGAGTAACGCCTGTCTTCTAACACCCGAAGTAAACAGTTATACCAGATTGCCCATATTGTTCATCATTACTGCGGGCATCCTAAACGTTCCATATGGAAGAGGGCAGGCATTATTATGGGGGCAAAAAGACTACACCGTATGATATATCGTTAGAATGGAGTACTTGGCGCTATCTGAAACTTGACGTTAATACCTACTAATTGTAAAATCATGGCTTAATAATTTGACTACTGTCAGTATGTAAGAGAAGATAAGCCGGCAAGATAATTTTTCAGCTTCCCAGGTGAAGGGAAGACTGTCAGAAGCGTTGCTCTACAGGAACACGATTAAATAATGAAGTATATACCGAAGACTATCAGATAACACAATCGTTAGAACTGTGCTAGTTTAGTTCCAGTCTATCCTGCAACTATATTCACGAGCGAATATCAACAATTAGCAAATAGATAACAATAACCAAAGGTCGCCAGCAAAAGGCGAGCGCACACCGCTAACGATAAACGCTAAGCGAAACCGACCAGGTCCAATAAAAGCGGTAGCCCCATCGCTTCCGTGGTATTCTTCGGCAGCCATATTTCCAGCGTTGTTTGTCTGGCAGGCAACATATCCCCGGCGTTGAATGATTTTGAATCGAATGTTGGGGTATTTGTCCATCACCTGTAACGAAGAATCAATAACAAAAGCTATTCGTTAACTTCGGTGTATCTAGTTAACGGTTAACTTCCTGTTCAACGAATGCACAATGAAAATCACGAACTTTTTACTCTGTGATATCGTGTCGTAAAGAATCTTGCCGTATATCTACTATTATAGATCCCTTCTCTGAATCGGCTGCCTTCCTTTTAGACTCGATCAGTATACATACTTGACAACATAGTTTTGTGAGGTTGTGATAGGACGGTGGACGACGCCAGAACAACGAGTGTTATTGCCATTTTTCTGCCTGTTTAGGAAAACTAAGCATGGCTTAATCACGACAATGCCAAAAACATACGTAGATGCTTGCTTTGATTCAACGTAATTAACGTAAACTTAAAATTATAAAAATAATGTGACAGAAACACAGAATCACCACCGCTGTTTGCCGCGGCGAGTGAGTCCTGTACAAACGAAAAACGACTGGCTGTATTTTCAAAATGGACAGAATATGTGTTTTTGTTAATACTAATAAAAGGACAAATAGATCAATTGTGCGTTATTTCTAATAGAAATCAATTCTGTGCGAACACGCCAGGCCTTGTGTTCTATGCAATTTTGTCGCCTTTCAAACCCCTTTGTGTACGCTTGTCATCGCATGTCGCTCTCCGATCATAGAGCTTGCCCACACTCAAATTTCACAAAGATTACTCGTCGCAGCTTCCAGTGATTAATCTGTGTATTTAATTAATTAATAAGTGAAGTATTAAGCGACTGATTCCGAGCCCAGCTAGTTAGCTTACATTGCAATTACGGCGCGTCCAACACAGACTTCAAAAGGACTGAACACCATTTTACTATAGGTAGCTTGCGCCTTACTTTCTCTTTGCTTGTTCTAACCCATCTGTTTTACGTTCGGTATCGCCGTTTAACTCCAGACAAATTTATTTTAGTCCACAGAACCTCCGTCTTGTAGACTACGCAGTGCAACGAGCTTAATCCCATTATAAATTTTCTTTGGTGCAAATGTTTGCACACAGGCCCAGAAAGGTAAAATAACTCCTCCTCGACAGTTAGGTAACCCAACATTGCCAAAAAAAATATGTGCTACTTCCAGTATGCATTATGAACCCTTCCAGCCTTCCAGCAAATGGGCAAAAGGTGTAAAACAGATATCCAAAATGTTCGACCCTAATTTGTAGGGTGTTTTGCCCCTAACAAGCGGTTAGAAACGCGTTTATAACTTTGTAAGGTAACTAGAGTATATCTATCATTGTGGAAGTGATGTTCCCTTGCTAGGCCTAGCAAATCATTACATCAGCAACGTGGAAGTTAGTAAAAATCATACAAAAAATTTTACGCTTGACAACAGCGTTCAAATTTTATCTGGAGAGGCCACAGGAACTTTCTTATTGCACATAGGGGGCTGGCATTCTGTGCTAGCCGAAGGGTAGAGATATATTCTTCGAATGATTCCACAATGCGTTCTACAAGGATGTAAGTGGCAACGTATTATTAGCACAGGGACAGTTTATCCTTCATTTTTTCTGCCATCTCTCTAAGCGGCTAACCCGCCTAAGACATCTTTTTCAGCGTTTCCTAGTTGCCGATAGGTAGAAAACTCGTTTTTTTAGATAGAAAACAACGAAAAACCGATTTTACTTCAGCACTGCAACTAAATGCCTTATTCTGCACCGAGCACAAAGTTTTGCTACCATAAATAAAACATGCCGTGTAGGTAATTGTAAATTGCTTTCAGACGTTAAGTTCAATGGATTGATGAGATCCAGTTGTCATAATATATATATACAAAGAAACATTAAAAACCAAACTATTAAAAAAAAGCTCTGACGACTAAGTGACCCAATCAAACAAACATATGTACAATATTAGTTTCCAGTATTGCTTCTCTATGGGGTACGCTATTATATGCACGCTAAATAGATATTAGCGGCAGCTTAAGCCTTTGATCGACAAAGCCACAATAGGGGTGATTAAATAACTAAACAAACGGCCTAATAGGCCTAGTCTTCAGACTTTATTATCCAACGCGTTCTTATTCATTCGCGTTTCATCAATACTGAAAAACTGCGCTCCCTTTTTACAACAGGTAAACACCACAGAGACGTTTTCGAATTTCGGGAACACAGCTTGTCGAGCTCTGCCCAATTTCACTTCCTGCTGCTAAGTAATGTTGATGGATTGCAATCAAATGAAAGCTATTTAGGAGTAACTAAAAATGGTACAGTGGTAGGCTTCAGCCGGCCGCCCGGCCGGCGTGGATTACGAGCCCACAAAGCCATCACCCATTCTTTTGAACGTTCGGCAAGCGGTATCCAGAAAAGTAAACAAATCTAGAAAGCCAGCGGGTCGTGTAAGACAATTGGTACGGCGATAACGCATAAATATTTTTGTTGTATCCAGTAAACGAACCTCAGCCTCTCAACCCTCAATGTGAATACGAAATGGCGTCATCGTATGACTCCGAAAGGTCAGACAGTCCTGACCATTACTTGAGGTCCCGTGCGCTGACTCTGGTTCTTGGTTTAAAATACTCTAGTGTCATGCTCATTTTGTATTTCCTTCCAGATGTTGCGGTGCAGCTCCATAGATCACACAGGGCACCTTCCCAAACTATCTCGATACACAGCTTCACAGACTAGGATCCATTTTGTTCAAATTCTAAGGCGGGCTATTTGCACGGAATTAGATGTGGAAACTGAACCGACGTGCAACGAGGGTTGAAGACCTATATCCACCGTTATGATTGGCTTGAGAAAAGTAAGAGGGACGGCCACCAGCAGATAGAACTCATTATTTGTACACTGATGCATGACAAGAATGTTTTATTTCTCATTAATATCGACAAAGTGACGCAACGACTTCGACCGATTAATTCTAATCTCCATAACCTGCTATTAATAGGGGCTTGTAGCTTAGCTTGCATTAGAGCAAATAGTAATTCTTCATATGTTCTATACACTTAAGCAGACGTTATAAAGCTTCGGGATGGTTTGGCGTCAAGCCCAACGAATGAGAGTGCGGATATTTTCAGTTAAAACATGGTCATTCTCCACTCAACGAATTATCAGCAATACATATGGTTATATTATCGACGCACCTGTTCGTTGATTAAGCGTACAAGCCAGGTACCGTAAAAACACAACGTCGGCGTCTTGGTAACTCTAACTCGGAGTAATAAAGGATTTTTCCTGTGTTGTTACGCTGTCGTATGTCCTTGTTAAAATTCATAATGAATCTCTCCGAAACTTTCCCCACACGTTCGAACCAATAGAAGAATTACGTGCTTTCCAAGTTAGCCACGAAAGGCTACTTACATTTCCGTTCGAACTTACGTATCATTACATGATTCTTTGCGCTCTATGTGAATTCCGTCGTATATGCCTCTTAATAAGTAAACTAGTCAGAATATATAGCATGACGCGCTTAAAAACATTAGCCATTGCCACGAAAATCGGTCATATGAAGCGATTTGCAGCACCAAACGTCTGCCGTCGCAGGAAACTTATTGCCATAGACAGGCAAAACCGGTTGTAGCAGTTCCCCGCCTTTACGTTTACGTTTACGTTTCATTACAGTTCAACTTACTTGTTTGTTATTAAGGTTTACCTGCTTTTTCGCATAGTGTAAAGTTGCTATAGGGCCAAGTAACGGGCCTCGACGGACGTACATAGGTATATAACGCATAAAGTTACTGTAAGTTCCGCAGGCCAGAAAGCCAGAAGCTCTAGCTCAAGAGCCACAAATGACATACATTGTACGACAGCTGACGATGAACAAAGCAACATAATTAATTTTCGCATGGAATTATTTCTAGGCAAAAAACAAAAACGCTATGCAGTCTTATTACGCAGTTTTTTTTTTCCCGCACGAACTGCTCTAACAGGATTTTTTTGTCGAACTCCACTCGGTGTTCGGCGTCGGTTATTGACCGCGTGAACTTAATCCAGGCCAGCGCTAGAAACAGGCGACCGAACTCGAGGTACGCGGCAGAACATCTAACGGTGAACGGTTGTAGACTTGCTTGCCTTAACTTGGAAACTGCCTATTCATAACAGATCTGACTTTATGCAGTAAATTCGTAGAAAATATGCTATATTTCGACCCTGATAGTCTTAGTCAGTTACTGGAATTTCGTTCGCTTAAAGATAAACCGAGCATGGGAGACACGCACAAATAGCATGACAGCGAATGAGTAGACACGGTCGCGGTTCGAGACTTGATCAATGATTGATCTGTCATTTTTTTCATATCACCGTTATTATTGGGTTATCACAATAGTTCTATAGAGGCATTCAGGCGACGGTGCAGTGGCAGCGTATTTCACTGCAGAAATTAGACAGTTGTAAGATTCGACACGGGATCTAGACATAGTAAAGTGTTTTTGCAACTGAATAAATTTAGCTATCTGAAGCGATGGCGGCTGTAGCAATAGCTAAAGCAGTACTGCATTGATTTTTACATCGTAAAAAATGATCTAGTTGTGTGGCCACTGTGCACAAAACGGATTTGTTTTAATTAACAACACCAAATAGGATTCGGTCGAGTGAAGAGGGCTCATCTAGAGTGTCTGGCTATTGAAACGGTGTCACGATGCTAACAAACATCAGTTCAAATCTGACAAATTCTAAATCTTCTATATATAGACCATGTCGATTAATTGACTATTAAGATATACTCGCGGTCCGCCAACCGTCACATTTAGACGAATATGTGTCTTCATTCGAAGCGGATCTCCAACAAATAGCTGCATTGACTGCCCTTTAAACTTTCTCAACTAGCGAATCGGTACCATAAGCAGCAACGACATACATCTGCCGTCTGCAGCTCGAACATCAACATGTCAATCCTGCCTGAATCAGTTCGACTTGCGCTCGCATCGAAGGACGATCCATCTGAAATTATGCCACATCTACTGCTCTATTCAACGGCTGTATCTTCTGTGTAGCACTTCCGAATCAACCTAACCGGAAGTTCGTAGCTAGATCATGCACCTAGAACAGTTAGCGGTACCGTATCATCGCCAGCTTCTTGTTTCCTTCACTCGAAATGAACCATGCCAAGCTGACTCTGTACAGCCCGTTTCCGCGCTAAATCTTATATACACTACATCGAGCCATGTTGATGCGCTACGGTAGAACTGCTGCGGGTACGGTCTGTCGGCCCGTCGGCAGTAGTGGGAACTGCGAATAACTAGCAGGGCTTCTCTGTGGTAGCGGTAGCAAAGGCGCAGCTGTCTCTTCAAATGGGCGAAGGAAACGCTCCTTTCGACAGACCGAATCCTTCGTCGTTCATGGCCCCACTAGCGACTGCCAATGGCCCAACATGCGCCACTGTTCAACCACGGGTTCTCAGGCATAGCTGTACAACATTATTGGCACGCGGGGCAAATGAACGAAAAACAGCCGCAAATATAATTGGACTCCAACACGTGTCTTGCCGTTATAGCCAGCGTTCCCTTCACAGAGAGGATCTGTTAATGTTTGCAATGGCGATTACAGCCGCACTGGTATTGACACTGAATTAAACAGATATTTGATTTTCTTAACGGGCCGTCGGACAATCGCGTGCGCTGAATGACGTTCTGAAGAATCGCGAAGAAAGTGAAACGCGCTGCTCTTTCGCTCGCGTTTTGTTCATTGACGCTGTTTTACTGTTATCATCGCTGTGAAAAGTAAGAGTTTTGTGTAAGACAGTAAGCAACGGCTTATATGCCGCCTGAAGTCGCGGATCGGGGCGCGTCGCTAAAAGACCGACCGTTCAAGAAGATTACCACACAATGAAGTGCAACAGTCTGATAGATTCGCGTCGCAATGTGTGGCCAATCGATTGACGACTCGTATACTATTGTGGAGTGTGCCTTCGTTTGCTAACCGTATTGCTATGTGAGACGCGGCCTGCATGTGTATCTGCACCCGTAGATGGTAATACTGTTCTTAACGGAATCACAGTTAATTACGTCGTGGATAAGGAGGAACGTCGATAAACTGTACCATAGTTGTTGATGTGCGAGGCGGCCAAAGGCGACGCAGGACAGGACGATTTTTCTTAAACAGCATCCAGGACGTTCAGATATGGACGAGTTAGCGGTAGAAAATGCATCTTAACTAACGTAAGTATCCAAGCCCTATAAGTCTTTTCTGCCAAGCGTGCGCTCTAATGGAATCGGCACTTTTGGTCCAATGCAGATGAACTGAAGGTTTGCCTGTCCGGCTAATTGATCGTGGCTAGTCAGCGCAGCCTTCTGCATTTCCTGTACGCACATCGATAATTTCACTCCTACATTCAATCCAGTCCCCTGAACTTCGACAGTTCGGGAGTGGAAGTTTATCTTATTATGCTGGTACTGCCTGACGCCGTGAGACGACGCAGGCCTTACGTTGGGCCTTAATGGTGACAGAAATTCTCACACAATATCTGGATGAGACACGTTGCTCACAACGAAATTTTCGAATGGGATATATCAATCAAAGAGGATAATTTTGAGCAAATTTATTTGTTATAGAGTAGTTTACCGTCGAAATGGGTGCATTGCGTTAGCGCTCATTGCAGTATTCGTACGATATATTGAATCAATATTTGCTCGGTTTTCTCTTCATTCCTCCTGTGAATGCTGCCCACCACTTTATGTACACTTCTTTTACATGGACTTGTTATGATGACCGTGTTCATTGTTACGGTACCGTTGACGCAGGTAGAAAAACCCGCAGCCTAACAACGTATAAGGTACATACGTAATGTCTCTTTCAAACTATCACACGCTAACAATTAACCGAAATAGCTACATCCTTCAATTGATATATGTATATTTCATATTCTATATATACATATATATATATATATTCATATTCGGACTTTTCGTAAGATCCACCACCTAACCTAAGCTGACATAATGAAGCGCATCAGAGACATAGCTCAACAGGCCATGGAATATGGCTGTAGACGTTCGGAGCAATAACAACAGAAGTAGTGCCGGAACATTTATTGTCGTCTCGAATTTTTTTGAGCTGTTGACTGCTAAGCGCCTATTCCGACAGCTTTATGCCGCCGAACCTATAGCCGCTACTGCGATACCGTATGTTCTATCTCGAATGCTAGCAGCGAACCCCGGCCATTAGCATATTTTCCATTTCTGTTATTTCATGTTACCCAATGATGAAGATGCCAGCTATAAAAAAAAGATGAAGAAGATGCTAGCGTGATTGACAAACGCTGGATGGCTGGGCCGTTCAAGTGACAGGATGTGTTGCTCTTATGACACTCGCGGTAACGACATCCACGAACATGCTATTCCTCCGTAAACATACGTAAAAGTGCCCTATTCAGACATTGTTGCTCGAAAAGTCCTATCAAAAAGGACAGCGACATATTGAGCGACAATAGAATCATTGTTGATTTCATTGGCCTGTAGAAGGACAGGTTTCTCAGAAACAAAGAAATGATTAACGCATCACGCTTCTACTTGTATTCTATGGTCTCTTTTTGACAAATGTTGGGCAGTTGTTATTTCTAGCTACCAATAAAGCTACACATAATGCAAACGATGATGATGATGATGACAAACTCGAAATTCGCCCCCATTTATTAAGAAATGAGACGTTATTTTTATTATAATTAATATTCATATGATAATTAATGTTTGCTGACTTAGGATAATTAATGGATTATGTTATATGATTTGGTTCTAGTAACTGGAACCGAAAAGCCAAACTTAGCGCCGCCCGACGGAGCATCGGTAATTACCTGACGGTCGCACAAAGTAGTCAGATTTAATCGGATATTTTAGGTGCATTAAATCAGATATCTGATCCACACGCTAAATGGATTACTACTTCGACTACTCGTTGCGCGTTTCTGCAAACTGCCACTGGGGGCCGTTCCACTTCTAGTATATGCACTTTACGAATTATTTTAAAATAGATACGATTTTGCTGCAGAAGATATATTTAACTCTCTTTTGTTTTTAGATATTACACTTACTGAACCGCTTCACTCGATCCAACATGTAGCGCCAACACTGAGCGATATATATCGTTAAGTGACATTTCAGTCATCTAAATAGACCTCAGCTATAGTCGGGGCGTTTAATTGATGCTCCTTAATAAAGAAATTCTTTGAAACATCTGAGGATATCCCAACGCTGTCTGGCATCCTGTGAAATCGCTGATTTTCCTGAACACTTTTAAAGGCGTTAACGTTCAATGAGCTAATTGACCATGAAGGACAATTTATCGCCGATCTTGTGGGTGCTTTATAAGGCTCCAATGAACTGTGCAAAACTCCCATTAGAACTGGGTTACATCTTTAGCTTACCTTAAATGTCTATAACAGCCAATAAAAATATTTACATATATATGTATATGGACGTTCCAATGTTAAAACCATCACGACAGGCCAATCTGGTGCCAGACAATGCACAACAGACCATATGGTTACCTTAGCAAATAGCAGGCGTTACGTGACTGATACGAGCTCCCTTCTTTCCAAATACCCACTCATACGAGTGGGTATTTGGAAAGAAAATAAACAGGTCACTCAAATTTCGCCAGCCCACATACATTTATTTAATATAATTTCAAAAGCCCTCCCTCTAGTATCGCTAGCCATGATAAGAAGCACCGTAAAGTAACCAGAATTAGGGCTAATGTTAAACGATACAAAGGCAGGCGGCGGTTAGATGTTTGGGGCGTGTATAAGCTTTACCAGAGCTACTGCAGAGCTGAACCCCCTAACGTCTGCTCTGCTCCGAAACTCAAAAAATTTTTCGAGAAAGTAACAACTACACAGCAGGATGTTCGATACACGCTGAAGGCAGTGATCAGTGGACCGGTCAGTCTGCTTTGAGATGGCTGATTACATAGAATTACGTCACGTTATATTTGAATAACACGGTTCAGCGAATGGGTGGAAGTCATTTTGCTAACTAATGACCCCATGTATGCCGTGTAAGGTCATCTTCGTAAAGATCTTTCAGTATATCGTTATCCGTGCGTGCTTGTTTGTGTCACTCGTTACTAGAACGCCTCAGAGCAAGTTCATTAGTTTATTATATCGTAAAATAACATTAGGTAGCAGGTCGCTATACTATAGTTATGCTAAGCCGGTGCAGGGCTATGGTGTAACGTAGGCCTGTTTTTATCGGCTGAACATTTTTCCACTTGATAGTCTCGTACTGAAGACTGACTGAGTAAACTGACCCTCTGTTTTATCTAGTGTTTCAAAGTGTTGAAAGTTCCACAGATATGATTTCGTTTGGGAAAGTATCCGTAATAAACGTACGAAGTATAAAGTACCTCTCTTTTTGGAGGCAAATACTTCAATAGTTTGAAAAGCTATTGATGTGGGGTTAGCTGCATAGCACTCGAAAACTAGATGGATGAACACTCTTCGAAAGGGGCTCCTAAAATGTATCTGCACTAAATAAGTATATTGTTTACCTTACTTCGCGAAGTAGCTTAAATGATCTTAAAGAACGATGCTGTGCCCGAAAATAAAACTGATAGTCTCTATGGCAGATCATCAAATTTTACATTATTATGTATAATTATATTGCTAGTATATACACTGCTTTCCAGGCCTCTAAGAAATTGATAAATGCCTCTATTTCAGCTTACATATACTAGTACTTGGTGCATCACTAGTCTGCTTCTTTTATCAACAAATAAACAACAGGCAAAAAAACTTCTCATGAACGTATATCGGCTTGACATTTATCTTGTTTCGCGTATCCCTTAGTTACAGACACTTTGGATAGCCCTTGAAAATGTCATAACAGCCAAATAACAGCTGGATGCCTAGCATTCTGAAAAAAAAATTCATCTGGATTTACTTATTTAGCTGTTGTCGATATTGAATGATAAACAGAATCATTTAAGACGTAGCAAAACATATACTGGTCATCGTTAAAAATAAGTGCGGTTTACAAAAAAAAAACTGGCTAGCGTGCTACATAGAAACGCTATGGTGATCTAAATTCCAGCCTTGGAAAAAAACACCTGCAATTTTCCCATTTAGCTGAACTCAAGCTATAAACATAACATTGGCTTGCTAAAAGAAAAAACAGATTGTTGAGCTAATAACCCATTTGGGATTATGATGTTCTTGTCGTCGATAGAACAAGAAGACATTTTTAAGTTCAACAGATAGATTTGTGTTTTTATTACGGTGCCGTAATTAACATGAATAATAAATAGGCAGCATTTTGTCTATCAATGTTGTTTGAATCACATAAAATTCGGTGAGGTGTACATGTGACTCAGCTATAGCTGTATGAGGTCAACTTCACTCGACAGCCTTTTACAGAATAATATATTTTGAATTTATCGGCAGAAATCGTGGCAGTATTAGGACCGGTCAGGTTGTGTCTTAGAAAAAAAATGTCGCATTGACCGTTCGACGTATTTTACTAATGCTGCCCATGGCTTATTTTAACAAAAATCCACATTACTTTGTCTGTAGCTATATCTATGTGATCGCGCAGAACAACTTGCATATCTTCTAAACTACGCACCATTCGCAAATGGACTTGATAAATATTTACGCTATGTCTCCGATTGAGTGTGATTAGAGAATAATAAGTTTAGTTTAGAACCAAAGATGTCCTTTAGTGCCGAGCGTCAACGGAAGCCTTCAGCAGTTCGTTACTGAGGCAGCAATGGGGGCAAGATGACAATTGGAAGGTTGAAGAAGGATCTTAAGCGGAAGAACGGGCTGCTGTGGAATCTTCATTGCAACGAAAACACTTAAAGTGGATAAAAACAAAGCAAGCGATTGTTTTTTTCTCATTTTGTAAATTAAGTCAAAGACAGATATAAGGGCGTATCGGGTAGTCCAGAGGAAATATGCGTGCTTATTATTAACAAAAAACCTGCCATGACTACACCGTCGTTAGAGAACAAAATAATAAGCGTGTGTAGGAGTTCTTCCCCAAAAAGGACTATCGTGTAATTCAGCATTTCGTCGCAAGTTAGCAAAACAAATATGCCACTTTGCATAAAACGTATTCATCACAAGGGCAACCGTATCCAACTCATCGCTGACCTATTCTGTTCCCTAGATGGCGCGACATGAACGTCCCTTTTGAGAACCAGATCCGAGACTACCTTTCCTATG